AAAAACATCTTTGAACATGGCGACCCCCTAATTCGTCCCAACGTTGGACCCAAATAGATCACATCGCTATCAGCCACTGATGGAGGGTCTCGATAGAAGACTGTCGCTCATTCTGAAGCAACATGCTTAGATTCAGATCATGCTCCAGTGAGAGCGCGTCTTTGTCTGCGTCTTACTGGACGTAGGAAAGACGCTGCAAGGAAACCTCTTAGGGGTCTACTAAATGATAGTCAAGCTAAGAGTATATTTCAGGAACAACTAGAAAAACAGTTAGGCAGCCATGTATGTGATGCCCACCCCGATGCAGCATGGGATGATATCCGAAAAGCTGTGGAAGCAGCAGTGATATCTGCTAGTACGGCAAACCACAAGGTTAAGGAGAAACACTGGATCTCAGCAGCATCTATCGCACTGATAGATGCTCGAAAACTCATTACACCTGGATCTGAACATAATGAAGAGCGGGGTCAGCTTAAGCGCTAACTAACAAGAAGTCTACGCAATGATCGTGAACAGTGGTGGGTAGCGAAAGCAAAAGAGATGGAAAAGGCAGCGGCAATGGGTAATAGCAGACAATTGTTCAGACTTGTTAAGGAAACCGTATTAGGAAACCGACTGTTAGCGAAACAATCTCAGAGAAAGATGGACATATTATTCATTCTCAATCCAGGAGATTGGATCGATGGGCAGAACACTTTAGGGATCAGTTCAACTGGCCCTCAGCCACACTTCGGTTTCCCACGATCTCTAGTCAACCTGAATGGCAAGTTAATGTAGGTCCTCCGTCCATTTACGAAGTTGAAAAAGCCATAGGAAATCTGAAACGAGGGAGAGCAGCAGGCCCTGACAGGTTTACTCCTGAGATTTTTAACGATGGTGGTTCAGTATTAGCAATGAGATTAACCGAAGTCTTAGGTAGAATTTGGGAACTGGACGTAATCCCATCTGACTGGTCTCAATCACTGATTGTGCCAGTCTATAAGAAAGGACAAAAGTCCTCTTGTGACAATCACAGAGGAATCAGTCTGACAAATATAGTGTCTAAAATATTAGATTCAATAATACTTTGACGCCTAACTAAAGCTCGTGAAGAGCAGACTAGAGAAAATCAGGCTGGTTTTCGACCTGGATGTGGTTGTATAGATCAGATATTCACACTACGTCAGGTTCTATAACACACATTCAGATGCCCCACCATGGTAGTATTTCTCGACCTTAAGGCGGCATTCGACTCTGATGATCGTAAGGTTCTATGGCAGTGTTTGTCACTGAAAGGAGTACCAAAGAAGTACATTAACCTTATAAAGGCTCTCTACTCGAACACAACTGGTAGAGTGAGAGCTTATGGCGAACTGTCATCAGAATTGATTACCTCAAGTGGTGTTCGTCAGGGCTGTCCACTTTCCCCATTCTTGTTCAACTTTGTGGTCGACGTACTTTTAGAGATAACACTCTCCTCATCTAAATTTCCAGGGGTTGAACTTCTACCGGGAGGTTCACTTGTTGACTTAGAATATGCCAATGACATAGTTCTATTTGGTGAAGACGTTAACAAAATGCAGAGTCTTCTGACCACCGTAAGCAACAATGCAAGCATGTTCGGGATGCGATTCTCCCCCTCTAAATGCAAAATGTTGCTTCAGGATTGGGTTGCGTTGACACCCGAACTAATGACAGGGAGTGAAGTAGTTGAGCGTGTCGATTGCTTCACTTATCTTGGAAGTCTCATCAGCCCTTGTGGTCTGGTGTGTGACGAAATCTCAGCACGGATACAGAAGGCTCGACTGGCTTTTGCCAACTTGCGTCATTTATGGCGTAGGCGAGATATCCGTCTATCAACCAAAGGACGTGTTTACTGCGCAACAGTTCGTCCCGTCCTACTTTATGGCAGTGACACATGGCCGGTAAGAGTAGAGGATATCCGTAGGTTACTAGTATTTGATCATAGGTGTCTTCGAAACATTGCTCGTATATCCTGGGACCATCGAGTAAGTAATGCAGTTGTTAGGAAACGGGTACTAGGTAAGGATGGCAAATCAATTGATGAAGTAGTGAAACTTCATCAGTTGAGATGGCTGGGACGTGTGTTACGTATGCCCAACGACCGACTGCCACGACGTGCGATGCTCAGTGGTATAGGAGTAGGTTGGAAGAAAGCTAGGGGCGGCCAGACCAAAACATGGCACAAGTCCATGAAGTCACTGACAAGTGGTCTGAGTCATGTCGGTAGGTGTAGACTACCTGGTTCGGGACCGCGAGATGATAGCAACCGATGGTTAGAGACCCTGAATGACATGGCTCAAAACCGTTTGCAATGGCGCAGGTGCATCCACTCTTTGTGTTCTCCCAAATTCTAATCTTCTGAATTCTTCATGTCCCTTTTTTCTCTTCTCAAATTTATTTCACTGGATTATACTCCTTGAATAGCATCTTCACACCCTAATTTTTCTTATTGCTGCTTGTACTCTTACTACCTCTACCACTACGGGATTTGATTCGACCACTGCATCTCTGTGCTAATGTGGTGTGGCAACTCGAACTGATGTACGTACGTACGAAGTTCTACGTTGTTACTGACTGACTGACTACGCCTGTTACTCCTAATGGAGCATAGGCCGCCGACCAGCATTCTCCAACTTATTCTGTCCTGGGCCTTCTTTTCTAATTCCATCCAATTCTTGTTCATTTTTCTCATGTCTATCTTCATTTCCCGGCGTAATGTGTTCTTTGGTCTTCCTCTTTTCCTTTGGCCTTGAGGATTCCATGTGAGGGCTTGTCTTGTGACGCAGTTAAGTCATTCTCAGCACACTGATGATATTGCAGCGTGATTATATGATATGTGTAATGAAAACCACGAGACCTGGTAAAACATAGTGGCACTAAACCGTATCTTTGTGCAATGGGTTACTCTTCATATTTGAAAATCATGTACAAAAAAGTATATCGAGTCTTTCCCTAAATACTCGCTACGTTGTATCACACAAATTGCAAGGCGTACAACAAACTGACTCGACAAAAGCAAACTGAATCTTTCCTACGTTGTGTGTCAGTCATATATCCACATTTATCCAGAAATGCTAAACACATTTTAGACCAGCAATAGTTTTGTTTCTTGCCATCTGACCTACCTTTCATTGGTTGTACGAAACTATGCTATGGAATTGTGTTAGAGATAATTTCATTAGCAACATACTGAAAGTTCAGTGTACAAAATATTTTAGTGAAATAATATCAGGAAATTACCTGTCTACACTAATTTAAACCATCAGTACAGCTAAAAAAAGGTCTTCAGATCTCTCTATCTACAATATTTTGGAGATATTTCAGAATGGTGCACAAATCTGTTGGTTGAAGACCTACAAGAAACGACCAGTTACATAAATTTTTATACGATGCCGTACAAACTACTTAAATCGTATTTAATTAGTCAGGTATCAGCGTTTATAGGCAGAGAATATGTTTTGCATCACAAAATTGTCAAGTGTATGTAGAGTCGATTGGTTCATATATTTTGGATATAATTGTATATCTGACCGATTCGTAGCAAACAAAGCCCACCGTTATATGGCTATAGCAAAGTTGAAACTATTAATTGTTGCCACGTTCGACTTCGCGATGTTAACTGACTAATAAAAGTATTATTATACCTACCTCGAAGCTCGGTACCCAAGTGTTACAATTAGTAGGAAATATATCGGGAGTTACAAGACAATGAAATCTTCATTAGGAATTTATATCAATCACTGAAAATACATTCAGAAGAAAAAATTATTGCGGATATGATTATCTTGAAATAATAAAAATGAATTTTAGTGTGGTCGCCATTAGCCACACAGAAACACTAGTTCGTTATTAACCCACGGTAGTTTGAGTTTAATGTGGACAGTTTCATGCAAGATCGCCAACTAGATATGAACTTTCAGGAGTCGAGTTACATTGTTTGAAACATTTATGACATTTGAATTATGAGTAAACAGAAATGTACTTTTACATGAGATTCAAAAAACCGACGCACCAAAACAAAATACCCATAATGGTTCTAACCATCCTAAACTGTTAGCAGCAGTTAAAGTAGTATCTGGTACGACCTTGCATAGTTTCAAGTTTCCATGTTCGACATCAGTAAACTAAAAGGAAATAGCTTTAAGCAACTGACAGGATAAAAGGAACTCAGAACGTTTACTGTAGTTCAGAATGAAGATTTAGTGTGAAAAGGACTGGTATATATGGGAAATTTCGGTATTTTCACGAATCAATCACTAGGGGTATGGGTTTTTGTTATATTCTGATAAGAATAATGAATGGTAACTTTTTGGATCCATTTATGGACCAATACTATGAGTATATTTTTATCGTATAATTGTTATGTAACTAAAATGTTCATATTCATGTCGCTCTTATTATAAGCTTTAATTTGACCCATAGACTATTACTATACGATTTACCATTCTTGGGTTACGGCCTGTCTATTAATTACTATCTCCCTCATTCATAGCCATATTTGGCTAATTCTTGTACAAATGTTTCATATTTTATGGTACGTTGTGGTGTCTGGTTGATACATAAACTGAGTGTTTGAAATAAATGATTCATATTGCATAAGTTGAGATTGGTGTTCTGGACTTAACTGGCTGGGCCAGACAGGAAGCGAGACCAATAAGGACTCTAGGCTGTTCGCACGTGTTTTATGAGTCACTGCTTCGATCGATAATTCGCTGCTCTCTGATTGGCGGTATCGCTGCGTTATACAATAAACAGGGCACACAGGTTCACAAGTTATAACAGTTTTGAAGCGTTAGGTTCCACTTTACCTAAGTGCTTTGAAAATATTGGAATTTTTTGAGTGGTTACGGTTGGATTTTGTGGGAATCTTTTATTTTTCCAACAGAAATTCTCGTTTGCAAACAGCGAAAAATTTGTATTACCTGAAAGCCGAACTGGTAACCACAAACATGGATATCAGAAAGGAAATTTATTTTCACTATACAGGATTACAATAACTAAGTAACATTAAGTTTTCTACGCTTATTAGTTACAGATGTTGCTTTGCATTCTGGTGAATTTTCTGAATTAGATGAGGAATAATTATACATACTTTCTACAACTTGCTCATTTTTTGAATGCGGTAAATCGCGGGACTGATATACAATTGTGTCTACGATTCTGCCTAGGGCATAGAAGTTTGAAGATGTAAGTTCGAGCAGTCTAGTAACGTTCGCGAATCCACGGGTTTTCATCAGTTCTTCAGCAGTATATGTGTCTGTCGAAAAAAAATGCGATGAGAGTTTAAAATGTAAGGCGTGAAATTATAAAGGCATGTACAATAGCGTTAGCTACAATTTGAAATTTATGTGGTCCACGCTAGTTACCTCACTAAGGTGTTCGAAGGTAAGTAATAAAGTGTCTCAGTGATGACCACAAATATTAATTTGTTAAGAATGGTAATTTTTCAGTAAAATTAATCATTAACGATTAGTGAAGATTAAAATTTTAATAGCCTCTTTAGCTATTGTCAATAACTAGCAAATAAAAATCCACAACAGTTTATAAAACCAAATCACTCAGTCGGTGACAAACGGAATCAAAATTAACATATATATCCACAATTAGCAACTTCAGAATTCGATCTATTGAACCAATATATGTGAGTAATCAATAACTGGCTTTTAACTACATATTACTACAATTTATTTCCCACTCTACATTAAAGTGAAACCTCCTTTAGATCAAAGGAATATTTTTAACTGAATTGTACCTTCCATTATGTATCATTCTTTTTCACTTCAATTACATCTTAACGACACTTTTTACTGCCGACTTTGACAAGTACACGTTGCAACTATCACAGTAGATAAATATGGATGCAGATATATTCACCAACAATTACAACTTGGCTGCTTTACAATAAATCTTCAAATCACTTTTGAAGTGGAGTTAGTAATTACGATTCACAAAAATTTCCAAAGTGGAGAATGTGATCCACTCAAATAAGCGCATTTCCTAAGAGATTTAATAATATCTAATGGGAAAGAATAAGTATTATGGTATTGAAAAATTAATGAAGCTCAAAAGCATGCTTTTTGTTCAGCTTGATATGTTGCTAAGATCGGGAAATTTAAGTAACAAGGTTATCGAAAACTTAATCTTATTTGTTCTGTATTGCACAGTAAATTTTAGTTTACAATCTCTCAAATTATTTATCTCTTTTCAACAATCAATATAAATTATAAAACTGGTGGTACTATAGACTATTAAAAAGCACTGTCTTAAAGTGGAAACTTACTTAATATACAGTGATATAATTCTAAGCAAACTGCAGATGAATCTTTACGCCAAATATTGTTGTAAATAAATCCAAAAATGTATTCTAACTGACGATTATCTCTACCTGCGATTGCGGCAACTAACGTATCTCTTCTTATTAATTCTCGTACAACAGCAAGTGCTAAGTTTAAACAATATTGAGGGGTAGGAATGGTTTTTCTTTTAAAGCGACGCATCCATGATCGATAGGTTAAAGCTAACGTCAACGCACGAGAGTGATTAAAACGTCTAAGTAGAACGTCTACTCGATTATATGTATTTGTCAGTGTTTGAGAGTAAAACGACTGCCCACTGCGTGATATTTCCGTTTTCTGTTTTCATTATAAATATAAAAGGGAATCAAGTCATTAGAAATAGTTTTTAAAAGTTTAAAGACTATTTGTAAATCAAATCTTAATAACAAGAAATACAAGTTATGGATATAAACAACTTGCATTTTGTGGTAAATATTGTAGGACAATGTTAGCGATTTATCTCATTTTTATTTATTTAAGGTACATAAAATCTGGTACAACCACTAACTAAAAAATAGAATGTATCACACAGAATGGAGAAATAACATTGTGAAGAGAAGAGGGAGAGGAAATATACTTGAAAGAGGAAGATAAATAAATAAACACAGTAAACAATCACAATATATAATAGAAGATACAGTTAACTTTACAATCGAGAAAGATTCCGCGAGAACAAATGGCGTATGAACATCTCCTAACGTTGCTCCACTGTTTTGCGGATCAGATCTCTAGATCAAAGACAAAAAGGGGTGACCCACCGAGAAAAAAACCTGCTTCGATCTAGACGTTGGGTTAGTATCCCGGTCTACAAACTAATATGATCATTACTGATAAAGAATTAGTTCTCGGTCTCTCTTGCCATTCATACAAACGATATATACAATTTATCAAGAATATTGCCCTTTGGAGTTGCTTGTCATACAAAGATTATCAACGACAAGTTTCCCAACACAAATTTGTCCTGAAGATTCATCTGGCTTTTTACTTTTATTTTTACTACTTCGACTCTTCCGTTTACTTAACGTCTGTATTCATAACTAAATACACTAGCTCACTTAGTGATTTGATCATAGTATTCTAGACAATATATCAAATGGGACTTATGATGATCAAAGGATTTTAACGATAACAGGTTTCTAAAAACAGGCAATGAAGATCTTATTGTTATTTTGAATGAGAAATACAGTGCTAGCAAGGTTTTGGACGTTGAACTGAAAAGCCCTTGAAAATTGTTTGAGAAAATTCAAATGAAACAGTGGTATCAAGAGCTTACTTGGTGAATTAAAGGGACATACGGCCTTTCGGTTGCTTTAAATTTTTCGGGTGAAAACCAGTCCCTGGGAGCACGGCGAGAACCATTTAAGGGTACTTCTAGCCATTCGTTCATTTTCATTGACATAAAGCGATCGCCTTTATTTGGTTTTGAAAACTGAGACAATAAACTCATATATGGATCCTCTGTGTCACTAGAAGACGCTTTGTTTTGCCCCTCAGATGATGCCGAGACAAATGTGTCTATTTTCGAGTCGTAGTGTTTGATTTTAACGAAACCATGTTCTCCTCCTATTACAAGACTTCCACACTTTGGCTACAATATTGTATAAACAGGAACAGAAAAATGAGTTATCTAACGTGGTACAAAATTTAAAGTGATGAAGCTTAATTCGACAAAATACTGAATAGAGAGTATTAAGCAGACTATTATCAGGTAGTATAAATGTAAATTATACAGGAAAGGACTGCAGAATGAGTAACTGACATTTAAAATTAAGTAAACACGTTGTATTGTGTATTTCATCCACAAAAGTTGAGATGGCGAGATTATCTGATGAAACAGATATGGTTAAAAATGCAGTTCATCGGTAGATTTATACTATTTTACCACCAACAATTAGATAACTCATAATATTACCACGAAACAAACAACTAGTAAAGCAGGTATGAAAGATCCGAGTGGATCCAATGATTTATATCCTCGGGAGCGAACCCAAACGTTCTAACGAATAGGAGAAAACCTTTAGTTTAAGCACAGGAAGAAACAATTCTTAAGACATATTTTGTTTGATATGTTGATAGAGATCGATTTTCGGATCATCAAATGCGTAAATTATAACACCCTTGCTATTCCTGTTACTTCAATGAAAATGGATGGACCAGAACAGGAGTGGAAGGGTACAAAACTACGCTTAACAAAAAAAGTAAACTACCGTGACACCTATAGCAGTCAAAGGCGATGAACATTGGAGCTGATACAATTCTTTACCATCCAGCAAACTGGTGAACTTGACGAGCTTGTCTAGCGAAACAGATAAAAGTACTTCTTCATCTGTAATGGGATGTTGTTCAATGAATAAACCAGTAATAACTTTGTAATGAAGATGTAGGTCTTGACTTGATCCATAGTCATGAAATTTCTGAGCTGAGAAGTCCCAGGACTGTACAACTGAACCAGCAGCAACAGCCAAAATTTTATCCGTCTTGCTAAGAGCAAGAGCAGAGACCGCAGACGGAAATGTGATTTTTTGAACGGATTTTGGCTTGAAAGTGGAATCAAAACAGTGAGTAAACTGTATAAACTAAACTGAAGTTCATATACACTGTCAAGTAGAACTAAATTATTATAATTCCTATTTAAATACACAGCCCAGTGCAAATTTTTGGTTACTTTAACGTAAGAAATAGAAACAAACCGTAAATTTTGCATAAAATAGCCTGTTCTATGGAGAAATAACTCCGCCTGTAGCTCTTATAGGGTTACTGCCGGTCCCAAGCCCGGGTAAAGGAGGAGGGTTGGGCATGGGGTTAGCGTCCCCATCCCGTAGAAAAATAACTCGCTAAAAGAACGCTTACCAGAAAAAATAATCCAAACCATTTTAACTCTGCCCTGGGAGTTAGAAGGTCTTCATTTAGAAGAATTATGACGCTTCATGGTGAAAGCCGGGTTCCTTCGGAAGCCACGAGGCCGATGCCCCTTCTAACAACCAGAGCAAAAATTTTTATAGGTACATGGAACGTTCGAACAATGTGGGAAACTGGGAAGACCAGTCAAATAGCAATGGAAATGAGGAGATACAACTTAGCAGTACTGGGAATCAGCGAAACCCACTGGATCCAAGCTGGACAAAAAAGGCTACCTACGGGAGAGATGCTGCTATACTCCGGTCACGAAGAGGACAATGCTCCACACACTCAGGGAGTCGCTCTTATGCTGTCCAAAGTAGCACGAAATGCACTTGTAGGATGGGAATCTCACGGATCCAGAATCATCAAAGCATCATTCAAAACAAAGAAGGAGGGGATCACAATGAATATTATCCAATGTTATGCACCCACCAATGGTAGCAACGACGACATTAAAGATCAATTCTACGAGCGGCTGCAGTCAATCATTGAGAAATACCCAAGAAAGGACCTAACTATTCTGATGGGAGATCTAAATGCCAAAGTTGGAATAGACAACACCGAATATGAAGATATTATAGGACGACATGGACTGACTGGGACAGAGAAACGAAAATGGAGAAAGATTTGCAAATCTATGTGCATTCAACAAATTGGTCATAGGAGGCACAATATTTCCACACAAGCGTATACACAAGGCTACATGGATCTCACCGGACCACACTACAGAGAACCAAATACATCATATTTGCATGAACAAAAAATTCCGAAGGACAATGGAAGATGTGAGAACCAGGAGAGGTGCTGACGTAGCTTCAGATCACCACCTAGTTGTAGCCAATTTAAAACTGAAGCTAAAAAAGAACTGGACAAGTGGACAAACAGCACTACAAAGGTTCAATACAGCCTTCCTTCGAGATACTGACAAACTCAATGAATTCAAGATAGCTCTCAACAACAGGTTCCAAGCCTTACAGTATCTACTGAAAGAAGGAGAAACTAGTATGGAGGACAACTGGAACAGCATCAAGGAAGCATTAACTTCAACGTGTCAAGAGGTTCTGGGTCTAAAGAAATACCATCATAAGGAATGGATCTCTACAGAAACACTGGACAAGATCAAAGAAAGGAAGAACAAGAAGGCAGCAATAAACAACAGCCGAACACGAGCAAAGAAAGTTCAAGCACAAGCTGAATACATAGAAGCAAACAAACAAGTGAAGAGGAGCATTAGAGCCGACAAGAAGAAATACGTGGAAGAATTAGCAACGACGGCAGAAAAAGCTGCTAGAGAGGGGAATATGAAACAGCTTCACGATACAACGAAGAAACTAGCAGGGAAATACAGTAAACCAGAGAGGCCGGTCAAAGACAAAGAAGGCAAGCCAATCACCGAAATTCAACAACAGCGTAACAGATGGGTAGAATACTTCGAGGAACTCCTGAATAGGCCGGCTCCAATGAATCCACCGGACATCGAAGCAGCACACATAGATCTTCCTATAGATGTCAATCCACCAACTACGGAAGAAATTAGAATGGCCGTCAGACAAATCAAGAACGGGAAAGAAGCAGGACCCGACAACATACCAGCTGAAGCACTGAAGTCAGACATCGAAGCAACCACAAGCATGCTTTATCTTCTATTCAAAAAGATTTGGGAGGAGGAACAAGTGCCGATGGACTGGAAAGAAGGACACCTCGTCAAGATTCCAAAGAAAGGAGATCTGAGCAAATGTGAAAACTACAGAGGCATTACACTACTATCAATACCAGGGAAAGTCTTCAACAGAGTGTTGCTGAACCGGATGAAGGATGCAGTGGACGCCCAACTTCGAGATAAACAAGCTGGATTCCGAAAGGATCGGTCGTGCACAAACCAAATTGCAACACTACGGACCATCGTCGAACAATCAGTTGAGAGGAACTCATCACTATACATCAACTTCATTGATTATGAAAGGGCATTCGACAGTGTGGGTAGGAAGACGTTAGAGAAAATTCTTCGACACTACGGAGTTCCTGAGAAGATTGTCAATATTATCCGGAACTCATACGACGGACTACAGTGCAAAGTAGTGCATGGAGGACAGCTGACAGATGCATTCCAAGTAAGGACCGGAGTCAGACAAGGCTGTTTACTCTCTCCCTTCCTCTTTCTTCTGGTGGTCGACTGGATTATGAAGACCTCGACATCTGAAGGAAAACACGGAATACAATGAACAGCTCAGAATCAATTAGACGATTCGGACTTCGCAGATGACCTAGCCCTCCTATCACGTACACACGAACAGATGCAGATGAAGACAGCCAGTGTAGCAGCAGTCTCTGCATCAGTAGGCCTCAGCATACACAAAGGGAAAACCAAGGTCCTCAAATTCAAAGCGGAAAACAGCAATCCAATCACCCTTGATGGCGAAACTCTGGAAGATGTAGAATCCTTCACATACCTAGGAAGCATCATCGATGAACAAGGAGGATCATATGCAGACGTAAAGGCGAGGATTTGTAAGGCAAGTGTCGCATTCCCACTATTGAAGAACATATGGAACTCAAAACAACTTTCAACCAATATCAAAGTCAGAACCTTCAATACGAACGTCAAGGCGCTTTACTGTATGGAGCTGAAACTTGGAGAACTACTACAACTATCATCAAAGAGGTACAAGTATTTATAAACAATTGTTTATTCAAGATACTCAACATCCATTGGCCGGATACCATCAGCAATAGCCTTCTGTGGGAGAGAACAAACCAACTTCCAGCTGAAGAAGAAATTAGGAAAAGACGATGGAAATGGATAGGACATACATCACGCAAATCGTCAAACTGCATCACGAGGCAAGCCCTAACTTGGAATCCTGAAGGGAAGCGAAAAAGAGGAAGGCCAAAGAACACATTGCGTCGGATAATAGAAGCAGATATGAAAACGATGAATTACAACTGGACGGAGCTAGAAAAGATTGCCCAGGACAGGGTTGGATGGAGAATGCTGGTGAGCGGCCTATGCTCCTTCACGAGGAGTAACAGGCGTAAGTAAGTAAGTAAATATGGAGAAATAGAAAACTCAAGATATTTTCCCACCGAATTCCTGGACTTTTCTATTAACCCTGTGTTATCACTACTAGTATTAGAACGCTGCTTTTTGATGGCAGGACTTGCTCTCATTCGATGATGGCGGTTGTTTCTAAAAACCTTGGAAATTCAAAAGCCTATTACAAGTATATTTCAGGTACTGAGGACAATTACTTTTTCTTACTTTTTCAAACCAACAGCTAAGATTAACACACATTTTACTTCGTCTTTTTGTTTTGGCGGTATTCCACAGTTTTGGATGAATCCTTGTAGAATTTATAGCTATATACGCATTGGTAGTAGAAATACGAACGTATTTCATTATTTTATAACTCACGGATTGGAGACTATCTATAAGTATATCTCACCACTTACATTACCAATGTGAGGATTATCTTAAAATTAATTGCACTTCATGCTCACCTTAAATAGTAAATCGTTGGAAATGACAAAGTAATTGGTGCATCTGTGTATCTCTATTATTAGTAGCGAGTCCGTATGAAATAAGTCAACGGCACCAATGTCAACTAAGGTTATTTTTCAAGCAATACGTAACACCAGAATACAAAACACTTATCTACTATGCCGTAACAAGAGCATTTTAATAAAATTAAACCTAAAATGAAGCGACTCAACTTGTTTACGTTTATTGATGACTACATCTATAGCTTTTAGAAAAGAAAAGCAATATCTGCCAGAAAGAGTTTAAAACCAATCTAAAAACTGTTAGACTTTTTGGCACAAAAGGATGGATTCAATCATTTCTCTAACTTAACTATGACTCATGTTTAATATGAAGGATAGCTAAAGGGAGTAGTTATTACCCGTCATATTAAATATATAGATCTACTATCCGTATATACACCACATGTGATAGCTTAATCTCTAAGTAACCATGAAAGAACTTTATTTTCTCAATTTTATCGTTTACACTTTTAACAACCTAAATTTCAGGGGATTCTTTACACGCCGCTTGAGTATTTTTTTCATGTACCATTATAATCTTTTAAGGATAATATTCTATTATGCACAGAAACCTCATTTCCGTGGATTGATCTAAACAAATATCAACCCTACTTTGAACGAGATAAAGATCTACATTACAAACAGTGGGAAATGCCCGAAATTTTAGTGACTGAATGACAAGATTTAACCGCAACTAGAAGCCTTACCTCGCGCACATCGTAAATGGCAACATTTCCATTAAGGTCACCAAAGCATAAGAGGTTATTGTCGACTCTGCCTGTTACCATGCCACGAGCAACTTCGCTTCCATTGCAAACTGCATAACGTCCTAATGGGGAACCCAGTGTGACGTCCCAAATTCGAACACTTGCATCTGATCCAAGACTAGCTGCACGTAACCCGTCGTAAAAAAATGAAGCTGTTGAAATAGAACTAAGAAATTACAAAAAACGGTCAGACATACCCCTGGTGTGCTTTCATCTTCCGAAGATGAAACTTGTTTTTGTCCGTAGTACAAATACGCAGAGTTCCGCCTTCTTCACCCACAATGACAAGTTTCCCATCATTTCTAAAATTACAACAAACTACTCGGGCCGAAAATCCACTTAATTTACGGAAACGTTTATCACTATCACATTTGTAAAGATTGACCTAGAATACTCTACAAGGAAATCAAAAGTCACGTACATTATATCCATCTGGAAGACCATACTTGTAAGGAGGTGTTACGGAAATAGCAACCGAGTTAATGCGATGTACAAGTTGTAATGGTTTTCCATTCTACAAGTTGATTTATCACCTTTTCAAACTAACTTTATAGCTGTCCCAAACATTTATAGCTTCCTTTTTCTGTACATACGGAACTAATATACTATGAGTTGAAGGCATCGTGATTCACCTAAGAGTAACGCATTGATTGGATATTGCGGTTCAGGCAGTACAAATAGTTGTGGACGAAATAAACATTTTAGCCCAACAGACTCTCATATTTGCTAATATTAATGACTTTACCAAATATTTTGTTTTTGGCACAATATAAAGTTATCAATACAAAGTGTTTCAGCACGTTTACTTTACAAAACAGTTGAAAAAAACGATAGATGCAGACATAGACGAATAAATTAAGCAAATAAACTACCTGGAGTCAAATGAATTGTATTTTTTATGTATGTTTGGATATGTACATTTCTTGATTCAAGAATACAAGTTGTTGACTAGGTCCAAATGGTTCGGATGTTTCAAGTGATTTTGGACGGAATAGAAGGAGCTTTCACAATTGATTGATCACTGAGTGGTGATCAATGGCTTGCTTGTCTAGTCCTTATTAGTGCAGATCGAATGCTATCGATCATGTTGCAATGTGGCCACCAATCTAGGTGACTCGACACTGCGGGCACTATGTATTGATATTCAGATGGTGGTTGGAGGTAGTCAACAGGAAACCCTGGACCCGGGTTTCGTGCTACTTGGCACTCGTCAGCAAGGTGTACTCGTAATCTTGAGGGAACTGATGCTCCCTGGCGGATTTGATCTCGTGTCACCCAGCTTCACAGTCGAGTCACCTAGACTGGTGGCCACATTGCACATGATCGATAGCATTCGATCTGCACTAATAAGGACTAGACAAGCATGACATTGATCACCACCCAGTGATCAATCAATTGTGATTACATCTCAGTCCTACAGGAGGTTAGTCACGGCTCGGATAGCTCAGTTGTAACGTCTCTGGCTGTGAAGATGGGTGACACGAGATCGAATCCGCCAGGGAGCATCAGTTCCCTCAAGATTACAGGTACACCTTGCTGACGAGTGCCAAGTAGCACGAAACCCGGGTCCAGGGTTTCCTGTTGACTACCTCCAACCACCATCTAGAAGGAGCTTTCGCCTATCGAGCTTCCGTGTCTAATAGCGGTGGATCACCAATACTTCCAGGCAGGAACCTAAGTATATTAGCGATAGGAGAGGAAAAATTGGTAAATCGTAATAAGATACTATACCTAGTGCTTAAAAATATGTCAAGTTTTCTTTTAAAGTATTCCTTGGAAGTCGCTTGGAATAGCTCAGCCGGCAGCGAATTCCAGAATTTGACTACTCTTACGTAGTAGAAGTTGTGCCTACGTTCCGTTCTGCTATGTCGTTTCTCTATTTTATGGGTGTTTTCCCTTAGGTTTGTGTTTGATCTAAACTTAACTAGGTGTTTGAGGTGATGTCCAGAAATGTTAAGGATGTTGTGAGTCTTACGAAGGTCACTTCCAAGACGTCTGTACTCTAACGGGTACAACTTTAGTGATTGGAGGCGCTCTTCATAAGGCTTGACTTTGAGTCCCCGAACTGATTTCGTGACTCGCCGTTGGATATGTTATAGAGTGTCTTTATCTTTTTGGAGTGAGGGAGGAAATACTGTGCTTCCGTACTCCATATGCGGATGAATGAAACTGTTGAAGTATGTGTGGAAAGTTCATTCGTCAAAATGCCGAAAATGCGCTTCAATGTTACCAGTGCAAGGTTTGCTCGAAAGGCATTTTTGCCATAGTTAGCGTAAGAGTTCAAATCGTAGGGTACCAACACTCCTAGACCTATTTGAATTTGAGATTCCCTTAGGGGGGAGTTTCCTAAGTTGTAGCTGTAGTCTGCATTATATCTCAGATAGACTACTTTACACTTTGAAATGTCAAAAGTAAGTCCGTCGTCATCTGCACAACCGTGAAGTTCAGTTAGATTCTCCTAAAGTTGCAGTATATCCTCTCGGTTTCGTATCTCTCTCCAAAGTTTCATATCATCAACAAAAACTAATACGTCAGACGATACCTGTTGTGGAAGATCGTTTATGCAAATCAAGAAAAGAAGATGTCTTTGTACTGAACCCTGGAGGACCCCACTAGGCATTCCATAGCCTGAGAGAAAGTGAAGTTAACCATAACCTTCAAATGCCGAGTTTTTAGCACTGAAGCGAGCCGGTTATGTAGAGGTGATTTGATACCCAATCGTTTGAGCTTATTGATAAGACATGTATGGATGACCCTATCAAAAGCTTTCTAGAAATGAAGGTAAATGGCGTCAACCTTCACCTCGCGACCAACGATGGTTGTCCATCTGTCCACCGCAGTCAGCAGGTTGGTTACAAAAGAGTGACCCTTCCTGAAAACCATGCTTTATCAGCCTGTTTGTCACACAGTACATTTGCTAAGTAGGGTATTGTAGAGCTTTCATGCTTTTGCTTGCGTGCATAAACTCTAATGTACTGACGTCTCGTTCTTCCAGAATATATACAAAGAGAAATATACGGATAAAATGGATGGTTGGTATTTACAAGACTTTAGATATCTACCCGCAACCGTATTATTAATGACTTCAATAGATTCACTACACACCCCGTTAACTGACTTCAGGACTCTTCAGAATATAGTAAAGTTTTTTCTCAAAATCCTGAGAAAGAATAGTGGTGAACAGTAAAGGATAATAGGTAATATACGAGAATCAATAAATCGTAAGAGAAAATGTATAGTAATACCAAAAGCATACAGACTCCTTGGGCAGTAAATCAAACGGAATACTTCAGTAACAACAAAACATGAAAAGATTTATAGAGATCAGAGGAAAGGCTTATCCTATACAAATGACCTTCGACATTGATTATTAAGGAGCCTTCAGTGGTACACGTTTTATGGGATTGCAATGGGGTGCTGTTCATGTCTAGCGCTAAAGTTAACAGTTTGACATTTAAATGAACTAAATGTGAGACAATAAACAACAGACCACTGTTTAATTAGGAATAAAAACTTTCATTAAAAGGAATGTGAAGAGGTAGAGATCGGCATACATGCAGTGAGATCATTACATATTTAATAGAAGTGTTTTCTGTGGGAGTTGGAAGATCATGCAGAAAAAAAAGAGATAAGAGGAGAGAGAAAAACACCTTATGGCACATTTTCACGAGTCAGTGGAAACGTCGAGCACTTCCCTCTCAAAACAATTCACTCTCCTCTTCCTGAGAGATGTGGACATAGGTGGTTGGTTATCTAGTTGTCAGTGTTGATGCTGAATAAATTGTTAAGTGGAAGTTGTCTTGGGGTTAGGTCAAAGGCAAAAATACAATCTGAACTACGAATTGAACAAACTTCTCACCATTCTCCAAGCTGGACAATATATTATAATGAAGAACAACAGCACAATCTAAGGCGCTTTTCCTGCATTTGTAGGCTAACTTATAAGTGTCAGTATGCTCTTCTAATGCAGGTTGAAGTAGGAGTACCAAGTGTTTTCTCATTGCCTTGATAAAAAGTGAAGTAATTACCATACATTTAAATTTTACCTTATTATCACCAGATACATTCTTAAACCGTACAAATAATTGAGGAAATTAAATACACTTTGCTAGAAGAAAATGATAGAACATATTTAATTAGGAAGCCTAAAACAAGATAAGCGTACGAAAATCGTTACACACAAGTGGGGAAATCGGTAGACTTAACGAATGAGAGAAAAACATTTGTAGTATATGACGAATCCTCGGGAATACGTCATTCTTCCACTTGAAAGACATCTGATAATTCATTTAAACCATCTCAGTTGTTAGCGAATTCCAGAATTCCACAAATCATAACGGAAAAACGTGAACCTACAATCCATTCTGTCAAGTCATGACTTTAATTTTCGGGCGCTGTCTCTAAAATTTGTATTCGGATTGAGCTATTTAGCGTGGTCTCAGGGATGTTAAGGATGCTTATTCATTAGGTCACGTCTGAGATGCCTATACTCTGACAGGTTGACGTCCAGTGATTTGAGGTGTCCTTCACAATGTTTAAATGTTAATCCCCGAAGTGATTTCGTGACTCACCTCTGGACACGTTCCAGTGTATTCTTATCCTTTTGAAGTTAGGAAGGAGACACTATATTTTCATAATTTAAGTAAAGCCGAATAAAACTATTAAAAATTGGAAACTTGTACTGTCAAACTGACCAAAAATGCGCCTTGACGTGATCAGTGCAAGGTTTGATTGCAGGGCATTTTTGTCTCAGAGTAAAACTTTAGATTATAGCGTACCAGAACTACCAGATCTTTTCCAACTCGAGACGCCTCCGGAGGTGAGTCACCTAGTTTGCATGCATACGCTGCGGAATATTTCGCAAGGATTACTTTACACTTTGGAATGTTGAAAATAAGTCTGTTGTTATCCCCCCGACTGTGGGGTAAAGTCAGATCCTTCTGAACTACCAGCTTGTCATCGTGGTTACAAACTTCTCTATCAGGTTCCACAATGTCAGTAGAGCAATAAATCAGATTATACTTAATGAAGGAGGTCAACTATGTGAATTGATAACTGAAGAGGTCTTAGTGCTGGACTCTGAAGGATCCAACCAGGATATTTGATAGCCTGAGAATAATCTAAGTTTACGCGTACCCTAAAATGCTGATTATTTAGATATGAAGTAAGTTAGTCTACCAACAGTGACTTAGTATCTTACATTTTGAGCGACGTATATTATTGAGCCTATCAATGGCATTTGGGAGTCAATCTATATTGAGTCAACCTTACTTTTACGATCGAGGATGGTTGTTCACCTGTCCACGCAGGACAACAGTTTGATTATACAAGATTTACTCTTTCCGAACCCGTGTCTTTGGTGTGAAGAGAAGTTTTATGGATAACAACTAGTCTTTTAGAACATCGTTTATCAAAGACTCCATAACGTTTGAGGGTATTTAATGAAGTACTACTGCTTGGTAGCTTTAAGGTTCAGTGAGTCGGTTTTCTCTGAAAATTAGTGTAATGTGAGCCAGCATCCAATTTTACAGAACAGTGCGTCGGTTGAGGGAATGCCAATATTGCCAATATCTAGATCAGTTATATCAGTATGGCAGCATGAACCATATCCGGAGTAAGAGGAGTGTCCTCGTTTAATTGCTTCGGTTTCTGATAATAACAATAATATATTTCTGACAGAGCAGGCACATGTCACTTTTTTCAAGCATGATCAATAATTCACAAAATTGATTCGCAGGTAAATTGCTTCTCAAGTACAAGTGAAATAAGTTCAACTGATAGAGAGAGAGTTAAATTTAGAATCAAGTAGGTTGTTCATCAAAACTGAAAGTACATCGAAAGAGGGTAAATTATCAAGAAAAGCTAATATTTATACCTTTTATTATCTGTCATTTCTTCTTTTCTCTCTTTTGTCCATCTAGTGCCAGCCTCTAGGTCATAGTGTAAAAGAACGAGTTATCATGTTACAGGTTCTCTGGGTAAAATGGTGAAGCCAGCATAAAATTGGAGACATGACTCTGATTGAAGGGCATAGGACGAAAATCTTAGTACGATTGACTAATTTTCTAGTCCTTTATCATAAATATTTTGAAACAAACAAAATGTTCCGCCCCAAGAAGATTAGTGGACTGAGGTCATCACCCTCACCATCAATGTCAGTAACTCCACCCTCTCTCTTGGCCAGTGTTCAGGTTCACTTCTGAGAGTATAATTGAGTTGTAAGTGATCTCGTCTGTACGTAAGGGTTGGAAAGCCTAAAAAATATTGTCCTGCCATAAGGTCGGTGTCAGCGTCGTTGTTGTTTGGATCAATGGGACCTAACAACTATTAAACAAAAATCAATTTTGTCCAGGCAAAGAGAGGTTATGTTATAGAACGAGCTTTTCGGATCGCACACAAATTTGACTAGCTTTATTTGATGCCAAAGCCTATCTTCTATTATTGCTTTTGTTCATCCGTTTTTTGCTTAACTGAACCGCCTTTATGTGCTCGAGTTGAATAAAGTTGGTTAGAGCAGTAGCATATGTTAACAGATATGTGGTCTATATGACCATCATGTGCTTCCGTCACTAAGATAAGTCTTTGAGTGTAGACTGTCTGACAATTGAGGAATTAGATGCGGTTGAACGTAGTGTATTAGTCTTAGCGCGAAAGGAGGCGTATGGGGAAATGAGAGAGCCTGGCCTTCTGTAGAGAGCTGAATAACTGCAGAATGTGTGAGTAGATTTATGGTTATGCAAACGTACTGATGTGAATTGTGTGCTTACGACTGAAATACAATAGTTAGTTAGAAGAGCCATGGTTGAATGAATCCAGAGGTTTCTATATGGAACCAGATGAAGCTTGGTGGTCAACGTAAACAATAGAAAATACTGAAAATCCCTCCACAAAATTTCATTGGACAGTATAGTTATTTATTTGTTTCCTATCCCTGTCTTGTATTTTAACCTTTATTCAGCTCTCTTTTGACCGTGCATTATGTTCTTTAGTCTTCTGACTCTGATCTTTTATCCTTTCTAACTTTAAAAGGATAAGGATACACTGGAACGTGTCCAGAGGTGAGTCACGAAATCACTTCAGGGATTAACATTTAAACATTGTGAGACAAAAATGCCCTGCAATCAAACCTTGCACTGATCACGTCAAGGCGCATTTTTGGTCAGTTTGACAGTACAAGTTTCCAATTTTTAATAGTTTTATTCGGCTTTACTTAAATTATGAAAATATAGTGTCTCCTTCCTAACTTCAAAAGGATAAGAATACACTGGAACGTGTCCAGAGGTGAGTCACGAAATCACTTCGGGGATTAACATTTAAACATTGTGAAGGACACCTCAAATCACTGGACGTCAACCTGTCAGAGTATAGGCATCTCAGACGTGACCTAATGAATAAGTATCCTTAACATCCCTGAGACCACGCTAAATAGCTCAATCCGAATACAAATTTTAGAGACAACTGCTGAAATTTCAGAGTTACTGTTCCTTTGCTACTAGACATGGAAGTCCGTTGAATAAAAACTTCTTTCCTTTCCTCAACCATATCAATCGTTTGAAGTGGTCGAGCTGAACCATTTGAAGACTCCACACCGTTTCAACCTCAAGGACGTTGTAGATATTCGAGTTCTTGTAATTTTAAGACCGCTGTGATTATTGGCATTAGGTTTTATGTAGTCTTGTTAACTGTACTTTTTAGTGGTTAAGCAAAGTTTTGGATTTCAGTGTCAAACATATTTTAAACAAATAAGGACCTGTTGATGCAAAATATGAGAAAAACAACTAAATTTTCGGATGTACTTCTCAGACCACTTGGTGCGAGTGTCTAGGAATAGAAAAATGAACATAACTGTAGACCTGGGGCTGTCCTCTCAACACCGATATGTTTTAAATCGAGGACATTAGACGAAAACCAATGGTGCTAGTTTTAGGGTGATGTAAAATTTATTCAGTCATTATTTTCCTAATAAAGTGATGAAAACGTTTTGCTGTGATTGGGACTCCTAGTCCTTATCTCTTGCACTTATTAATAACTTGGTGATAAAGTCCATATTACTACTCTTGAGTGGTTTAATTTCTCCAAGTGCACTTTAATTGCTCTCAAATATCGTCCATTAATTATGGTCTCATTCAAGTTTCTGCTAGTTGAAGAAGCTCTAATCGATGAAAACTTTAAAGGTATTGTAGTGTTTCATCAAAATATTTTAGGTCACCTGATCAATCGAATTTAGTTGTGATATCAAAAACTATATTCAAGTCAATCGGGTCCATGAGTTAATTTTCTGCGTATATGCACACCAACTTACGGGTTGTAAAGCTTAACCACAAAAACGCCTGATCATTTTACGAGGATGAATAGGTTGCAGACAGAATTTCTTGCTCCCTTGTTACACATCATTCAGATTTCAGTTACTGAAACGGTTGGGACGGCTGTTTTCACTAACAGATTGTTCAGGAAATTCATGTTTTCTATCTTTGTGTTTCGTATAATGAATACTGTTCCCAGCCTCAATGATTAGCGCCATCCAATGTTTCTCTGTGTGCTTGTGACTAGGCGGATTCATAAACTACTTCATCCATACAAGACTTACTGAGACATTTTGATCAACAGCCCAGTATTCTTTGACACTTGACCAGCCATAATCAGAGAATAACAAGAAGAAACATTTAGTAGTATTTTGGCTTTTCTTATCTACTTCCTGCTCTTCAGCTTATCGGAAATAAGAGCTAGGTTGTGTTAATTCAATACCTTACAAATATTTAAAAACCGTGACAGTAGTTTGGGAAAGAATTTGATTCACAAAATTCCATACATGAAGCGCCAAAAAATGATATAACTCACGATACGCGGTACTGTATTTCCTAACAACATATGTCTCTCAAGATTGAGTTTGACCATGTCTTGCTGAATATATTTTGTTTGGAAGCTAGTTGGTTTGGTAATATGAGTTTGTAGTAAGTGAAAAATTGGCTATGCGGTGAATACATCTAAAATTCTAAGGGTTATAATAGGACATTTTGATTCCTATATCAGTTGAACTTCATTTGTTTCATGGAAGTGTCTATCGAACTTAAACTCTCCTCATGTCACAAAAATCAAGCCTATTGGCATTTTAAGCAAAGCGGTTGTAGTTCAACATGTAGAAAAGCTGTTATTAGTATAATATTTTGCGTAATAGCTCTTGTATTATGTAATGTTCCTAATAAAGCTCTTAAATTTTAGGAGCGTCTTGTGCATGTGGGTCAACCAGTGCTTAAGTGGTAAGCTTGTCATATCTAGAATTCTTCTGTGGTGAAACATCTTTAATGTCAGTTTGCAGGAAATTCGGTCGAAATAATGGTTACTATTGGTTCATCGTTCTTCCCGAATGTAGCAAAAGCCTTATTTCCCGGAATTCACATAGCTCTACAAATGGTGTTGAAATGACTAGAATGCAACAGCACTATGCTCTGTTAAATAAGAAATGCGAAGGTAATATGTTAGTTTACTTTTAACTAACACCATAATACGCGTCCCTATGTGTACTGATTAGACAGTTTGTCATTGATTAATAATTTAGTTACTTGAACTATTTCCTGAATAGGCGAACATGTGAAAGGCATATTTACTTGGCAGATTTCCCTATTATATCACTTATTTTACACTGTTCTGGTTTGTGTCATACAGTATTTATTCCTCTAACGTGGTGCGACAATTTATCAGTCATGTAGCGTTTCATCTTCTAACTTCGTCTGTACAAAATTTGAGATAGTAGTCTTTTGAGACAACGAAACCTCAATACTATAACTTCGCGGTCTCTAAAAGCTTGATTATTTCAATAGAATGTTGATAATGACTGACATTTTATTACCAAAAGGTTTGTAAGGACAAAGAAAATTCAGCTAAAAATTTCTTCCCGACAAAATCATTTACTTAAGCTAAGCTCCGTATTGTCTTCTCAAGCCGGCCTACCATTCACGGATGTGCTAAGGATAGACTTCCGCTTTGGGCCACATCGATGTTCATCTACAAATTTACCTGCTCTTGTGGAGCAGGTTAGATTGTCCCCACAAAGCGACCACTTTCCAAAAGTATCCGGCGTAGCTTTTAGAAGGAGAATGCAACTCAGTCACCAGTTCAACACAGGAGTACCCAGTCATTTCTGGATACATCGCTCCAAAGGAGTGTTCCTTCAAAGTAATCTACACAATCAAAGGAACTGGATTGAAGGGAGGATGGATAGAAAACTTATGCACTGCTGAGGCGTTGGTGATCCACAAATCTAAGTCCGAACTCTGCGCACAAAAGCAATACGTCCAACTTCCCTAAGAATTTTTGATATACAAAATGCTTCGTCTGTATAGCTCATGATTTGCATAACCTCACAAGCACTGAATTTAATTTTCGCCATCATGTATTATTCTGAGCACTAAAGATTTGCTTCAAATTTTTTCCATTTAACAGTAATATCATGAGTTGTATTAGTGGATATGAGCTTCAATCTTAAGGTAACATTATTTGATGGTAATTTTGCTCCATACCACTGCTTTAATGAAATTACTATTCAAGAAATATATAAAATCTATCGTGTCTTGTTTGTCAAGTTATGGCTAACTTTGAAATTATTTTGACTGAACAAGTGAATTATGAAAATTCTTAGGGTTATCAGATCAGAATGTAGCGTCTATTTGTGTAGTCACCAACGGTTAACACTGCTGTGTAGTATGTAGATGTCCTGAAGTTTGTCAAGTTTGTCATGCTAGCATTGTTCTTCAGGGTGATCAGAAGACTGCAAATTGTCATCCTCCTCACTAGATAAGACTATCTCACCTGCATATTCTCAGTTTATGAATAAACTGGGTAGGAGATCAATTCCAAAAAGTTGGGTGGGAAAGTGTTGGTTCCAAGAGGATATCTATGGTGTAATTGAAGAAAAGTTGGTTCAGTGGGAAACACTGACGAACACCACTTAAGGCTAACAATTCTGAGGACAGTTCGTTATAAGTTCTGACTCGACTAATAGTGTCTGAAAGGAGAGACCTCACAAGTTTTATGTACCTTTTTGATAAGCCCTCAAATAACAAAAAGTGCTACAAAACCTCTCGGTCAACGGATTTGGTTGCTGTCTTAAGGTCAAGAAATACAGTCGTCGAGCGCCAATTGGTGTTCATATGTTCCAAAACCTGATAAACTGAGCATCTGGTCAGTCCGTCCATCCCCAGGTCTGAAACCAGCCTGGCTTTCCTTTGGTTTGTTCTTCACAAGCCCTAGTAGAACGTCAGACGGTCGATTTGAATAATATTTTAGGCACTATGTTACTAGAGTTGATTCTTTTGTTTTCATCACAAGTGGATTTTTTCCCTTTCTATAAACTGAAACGATCAGCAATCGAAACCAGTTAAGTGGTATTTCGTCTAGCTCCCAAATCCTAGCTAGTGTCTTCTGTTAGCTTAGTCTATAAAACTAGACCTCCAGACTTAGAAATCTGTTGTTAATCCATCAGGGTCTGATGCTCTCCCTTTCTTCAGACTGACTATAGTCCTTTCATCCTCACTGAGATTTGTAGGAATTGTGTCAATTCCTCCATTCGGGTTGTTTGGAGATAGTCGGAAGGTCATTGAAACTGTCCCACATTTTGTTCTGCATATCCGTCTTATCCCCTTGACCAAGAGTGAATAGATCAAATCAATGTTTTATTGTATGTTTATTAATACTATACTTCTTTTTGTTATAACTTGTGAATCGAATCCGTACTTTCCATCATATCACTTTTCACCTCTTCCGAGACTTCACTCGTTTCATTTAACAATCCTAGAACACATAACCACATTCGATCAAGTTAATCCGCGGGATGTATTTGTAAATAATGAAGTAAAGTTGAGCAAAATTCAAGTGTACGGGTTTGATTATGATTACACATTGGCTCATTATACATCCGCACTGGACGAATTTATTTTCAATGAATCTCGTAACTGGCTTGTTGAACAGATGAAGGTCAGTTAACTATGTCATTATGTAAACTATGAAATACACTGTTGAAAATAATTCATGAAACATGTTTATATATTTCCTATTTTACTTTTTTTTCAAGTTGGCAGCTTCAAATAAGTTTTTGGATTCTTAAGCAAAAGGGGCATACATAAGGAATAGGAAATCTAATTTTTAATTATTGTTTTTTTCAGATGCTACCTTGTATTATGTTACTTAACGTTCAGTGATATCAATCTTTTACGTCTTACTGTGTGTTGTTCACAAACCAATTTTACTTGAAGTTCCTGTAAGTACTGTGATACTAAAACCCATGAACTATTTTTTTTCATATCAGCAAAGGTGAGAAGATACTTCTTTAACTCGGTGTAGTTGCTATATATCCTGGTCACTCACAGCACATAAATGAATAAACAATCTGGCTAGTAATTTTAACTAATTACAGAGGAATAGTATCCATCTCATATAGTGAAAACAGTGTCTGAAATTAACTGTTTTCATTATTCTATAGGTCAGTGGGGGCTGTATTTCATTTCGATTCAGTTTCAAGCCGTTTTATCAATGGAAGAAATTGGGGATAATATGCTTTATGCTCAACTTTTTAAAATCTATGTACTATTATGTCGTTTCGAAGACTCTTTCAACCAAAAGTTATAAAAAGTGAGAGTAGTTATCAGTTTGACAAGACAACTCAAGTCAAAAGTTCATATTATTTACCTCTTTGTTGATGACTCTAAACCTGACAAACACACTTCTAAGTTAATTAACATATAATTTATCTCTTCAAAGTGTTTTGTACCAATACTTAACTAGTTAGGTTACACAAAATAATGGTAGTAGTCCTTCAGGAGCTTATTTAAAACTGTTCAATCGGATAGTTGCTAGCAGTGGAATCCAGAACATGCGTTTCGTCCCGTAAGTGAGTAGGACTTCCCTCTGCCAGGGAAGTCCTACTCATTGCCTTCTCGTGGCGGGGGTGTTCACGAAAATGAGAGGACGAAAAGCGAATATCCGGCGCTTTAACCTGATTTCAAACCAATGGTGCACATAGGCTCCAGTATCCTGAAGGAACAAATGGCGTATGAAACAGCTGTTGGTCACCGGCTTCCACGGGACTGCATCTCCTTACGATGCTCCACTGCCTTGTGGATCAGACCTTCAGGTCGAAGGCTCGGGGAGTAGCCTCCTAAGAAAACCACCTGCTTCGGTTCGAGCACCCGGGCAGTATCACAGCCCTCACACATATCGAATAAGATTTGTGTGGCGCATATATATTTGCTGCCTCCTTGTACCAATATCTATGTGTTAAAATAAATAATAAAATAATTCATCAATCTGCAAATCATAATCAAAGTCTTTAATGTTTGTATCTTTGTTAATGCTCTAGCAGTAACTAAATGGTACATTGATGTGTGAATCCATGAGTTAGTTTTTCTAGTTTTCAAGCTTTATCGATTCTCTTCAGACATATATTAGATGAGATCTGAGAAAAAACTCGTATTATATGAAGTAAGGATAAGTAAAAAGACAGATGCAAGAGTAATCGGCCAATTAACAACAGATCATATTGTCCTATTCTTCTTGACTTACGATTCCTATTATATATTGCTAATATTTCCTAAGTATCCATATATGGCGATACTTCCCATGTCCCACCTATAGACTATTAATGGAATTTATTTCATTCTGTATATATTAACACTAAATTTCTTGAGGCCAAAATCTAGTATAGGGTTTAGGAATTATAAATTCATTTCGTTTAAAAGTGCTGATTAATATGTAACTAAAACGGTTAAGACAATTTAATTGTTCTGTAAATTGGACCAGTGCAAGTGTTCTACTCAATAATTCTCTCTCTATATATATTTTTCAGATATTTTTGTCATTCGAAACGAATGTAATAAAAATGGAGTTCTTACTTTTTTGTTCAAATATTTTTCGGTCCCGTCCATTTCCAACCCTAAATGGAACGCATAATCCATATAATGCCATGTGTAATTAATTATTGTTCAATGTTTCAAGTTCCAAATACATAGTCATTTGTGTGATATGCTCTAATCTTGCCTAACCTAGTTTAGTTAAGCTACTCGTATAGTGCTTCCAACTGTCACGCAATAATTATACTTTATTATATACCACCGTGTTAGCAGGACAAAGGCTTACTCAAGGCATGTGTTAAACAGGATCACGTTGAAGCGCGCTGATTGGCCCACTTTCAACCGATCAGCGCCAATTGATGAACCGAGATGACAAGAATATTATAGTGTAATGTTTGTATATACACTGACATTTTGTTGCTGAACGGGAATTGCCGTTTCGTTTGGAATAAATTTATGTTCTGTCCAAGTCGTGTTTCGATTTGAGAATTAGTCGAGTGGATTGGTGTCCAAGATTACTAGAGCAAATAAGGAGACTCAACACGTAAATAGTTCCACCTGTTTACTTTGTTGTTATACGGTTGAACCGTTTAATATCTTTGATTTTTGATTACCAGTAAATAAACTAAAGCATAATGTCGTTTTTATGTCAGTCAGCATTATTTTTGAAAATTTCGGAATTTGTTATTTAATTTTACCAATTCAGATATAAATAATTTCTCATTTTGTAATCGGTCTTCTTTTTTTAAACTATTTTGCACTCATTCAAATTTCCTTCGAATCACAATCTTCAACAAACACAAGTATCCTGAAGAAATTCTGAACTATGATTATACTGAGTTCGCTAGACGTGGTTTACATTTTGATGTAAAACGAGTATGTCACCTCATTACTAATAAAATTAATTTCCCCAGATTATTTAATTTAGGAAAGGTTTATTATAAAATGACAACGACACAAATGATTTGTCTTAGTTAGCAATTAATGATAAATGTTTACTGGTCAATACAAGTAGATCAAATACATTATTATTATTATTATTATTATTATTATTATTATTATTATTATTATTATTATTATTATTATTATTATTATTTTAATCGCATGTCAATCTTAGGCACAGATTGTCACTAGACAATTTTTTGTCTATATAAAGGATGAGGAGCAATTAAAAGACAGTACTATGACCCTAATTGGCAGAAATGTAACAGTGAAACTTTATGGTTGAACTATTAAATCTTTCAACTACCATGGTGACTACCAGAACTCATACGATCGATCCTCAAATCCTGAGCAAATGACTTCAGAATGCGATGTCTCTGGGATGCTGATTGAATATTGAGTTGGTGATTTGAAGCTGTCGTTTATTTATAGTATATTCAGTAAAAACCACATGACAATGAAATAATAACCGGAGTCATCAGATATAAGAATTAAGGTCATAAAATAATCAGTGATGTTTCATTTCTGGTTGTTCTGTATGCAAACCAACTGAAATCGATAAGTCTGTGGGAGAATGTGGTTGCATGATTTAATTATGGTTCATCAATAACTTATCTAAAGTTCTTGCATAGTGTTATGGTTTAGGAAACTATTACGAGATCAGATCAATCAATAATAATGATAATAATGGTTTCGTATGAATGCAATCTCTAACAGTTCAGCTTTTAGTGAATAGTATTGAGGTTATTTCCTGGACTTATTCAATACATAATTATTAAAACGGCATAATACGGAATAAATCAGGCACTATCTTTTGCCATCTATGTACTGCTGACTTCACTGCAATAGTATGTTCCGATCGAAACTGTACTATTGAGTAGTCAATGTATCATTGAGTATATAGTGTGATGCAAATGATTAGGTGGAGTTCACACCTATAATCCAGCTTTGATTACATTGGTTCTATGATGGTCACTCTTTCAAAAAAGAATAACTGTATGGTAAGGTTTTATGTATCGAAAAATTTGTAGGTCTTTTTGCAGATGCTTTTTTAAGCTCATCATATGCAACCATATGTAGGATTTCTTTACAGACAACTTATTGATCTTTTGTTTCCTTACGGTTATTATTTTAATGTCTAGGGCTTATTAATGAAAGTAGATGCATTTCATCATATTCAACTGGATACTGTTTATCGTGGATTTAAACTACTGTCATTGGATGAGATATTAAAAGTTTATCGTGGGAGTCATTTATCTAGTGATATTTTGAAACAAAAATTTACACCTAATGTAAGCTTTTTGTTCATCTATGAAGTATATCATTAAAATTTACTAGCTTTATCATATGTCGTTAAAATTTTTTTTTAAACTTCCCAGTAGATACTGTCTTAGAGACAAAACTTTCTTCAAACAACTTTCTAGAGATTAATATTCTATCAGGAAATCTACCTATTGACTTTGACTATATAAATGACAGTTCTGTTTGTTAATGTCTAATGAAATCCAAAGTTTTCTGATCACTTTGATCAACAATGCAAGTATATCTTAGGTTTGTTTCTTCCCCCTCTAAAGGCTAAATCTCGCTTTCAGACTGGTATGCATCAATCCCTAAACTGATATTAGGGAGTAAATTCATTTGGGACTGAAGGACTTGACAAACATAATATTGGTCACCACTCAGGGATCAGTTGAATGTAAATATTCCATTCCTGTAGGAGGTCAGTCAATGCCTAAATAACTCAATGGTAACGTCTCACACAGGAGGGATGAATGACACAGGATTAAATCCTCCGGGAAGCACTGCTCCCCTCAATGTTACAATTATACAGTTATCCTTTTTTCAACTAACAGTTTTCTGTGTTTCACTTTGGAGCTGTGGAACGCAGTATTTAAAAGTAGAAATCATCTTTAGGTTAGTAGTATTTGACTTTTTACTTAAAATTCGAATTTAAATTAACTCACTAGGTACTTGGGTATAAGCCTCAGACTGTGTGTAAGAGCTAATGGATTTACCCGGTTGCTCAGGCCGAAGTAGGTTGGGCGAGATTCAAAACTGAGACTTGATAACTGAAAGTCGAACACCTTGACCAGTAAGCTATCTCTCCACATTTATTTGATTGTTTTGTTTACAAAGCACTGCTTGGGCAATAATGGCTTCAAAGAAAGATAGAGGCGACCAGACTAAAACGGAACATCAATCTATAGAGAGGTTAACTATTGATCTGAACCATGTTGGTAGACGCGAACTATCTGTTTGAGGTCCACAGCTTTATCGTAACCAGTGATTGTAGTCGTTGGGTGACATGACTGAAAATTAGTTATAGTGGCACAGAATCATTTACGTTTTATCTTTTCTTAGTTCTTAAGTTTAGAAATTATTTTATGCCTTTTATTCCCCGAATTGTTTCTTTTTTTACTGACATTGGTACTGCTACCACTACTTTGGTGTTCATCCTGACAATTTGATCTCATCATGCTGATATGGTATTACGATCTGGGTTAATAGACATTTGTTCTGTATTTCAGTTCCACTTGAAGACTATCTTGGTCACGTATATATGTTATATATATATTTCCGAGTAAAGCTGAAGGGAATTCAGAATACCAGACTTATCTATACAGTATCAGAAAGATTTCAATACAGAACATCATACGAACATTTATCTAAAGTAATTGGAGCTAGAATTAGTCATGCTAAGGATAAAACTTGAAACGTGGATCGCGCTGAAGAAACTACAACATAAAAGAAATAATCCTGATCCCTATGACGATAGTTTAATAAAAAAATATGAGCAACCTATGTCGAGTGCAGTTCCATGTCATTTCGAACGTTATTTAGAGCTACCTAGGCCAGAAGTACAGAAGTTTGATGGCAATCTACAGAAGTACTGCGCCTTTTTCAAGGAATTCCTAAGTTTTTGAACAAACGACGGAGGATGATTCTAAGCAGCTTAGCAATCTAACTCAGTTTTGTACCGGACAAGCTAATTTCATTTTATTTTTATTTGAACACATAAATATTGGAACAAGAGAGCGCCAATATATATGCGCCACACAAAACAATGAGAAATCAGAGAGAAAAAATGTAAGGAGCGCAAGAAAAAAAAGAGAACAATAACGAAGAGATTGGTGTAAGGTAGTGTAGTAGTAATGAGGGAACGGAAAGGTACAATAGGAAGAAATCTTTCAGGTAAGGAAGACACAACCACTTTTTATGAAGAAAGTAAAAGGTTACAGCAGGATAGCCACTAGCTTATATTCTGGGCCATATCTGATAACGTCTCTAGCCACTGTGTAGCACCATCTCTCAGACCCCAACCAGGGAGTCGTAAAGGACCGACAGAAGCCAGTCCTTTGCAGCTTTCTTTCATGCCACGACACCATGTCATGCGCTGACCACCTCTACGCTTTTTCCAACCAGTCCCAGAGTCGGCAAATAATGCACGACGTGGAATTCTTTGGTACGACATTCGGTGAACATGTCCAAGCCACCGAAGTCGGTGTTTCAAGATGGTGAACACCAAATGAATTATCATCTCTGTGCCCGAACACACGATGCCGAACCTCTGCATTACTGACATGGTGTTGCCACTGAATGTCAGCAATCCTTCGGAGACAGCGATGATCGAACACAGAGGGTCGTCTAACGTCCTCAACTCGGAGAGACCAGGTTTCACAAGCATAGAGCAAAACTGCTCTCATCGACGCGTTGTAGATCCGACCTTTTACAGCCAGACTAACATAACGAAGGCGCCAAAGATGGCCCAGATTGGCATAAGCCGCTCTGGTTTTCACTATACGTGCATTGATTTCATCACTCACACCCCCACCAGCACTTATGCAGCTACCCAGATACACGAACTTCTCGACTACGTCTATCTGGTCACCATCCAGGGTGAGTACAGGATTAGAATACTGCCAGTCTTGTAGAAGTACTTTGCACTTCGAAGGTGCAAAGCACATACCATACCTACGGACACTGATTGCCAACTGATTAAGTGCGGATTGCATGGCTTGGGCATTATCGCACAGTCAGACAATATAGTCCGCATACTCAAGGTCGAGAAGTCTTTGTCCAGGCAACAGGTCCACACCACCATTACTTACATTCATCAGAGCTGTTTCCAGAATGTCATCGATGACAAAGTTGAAGAGGAATGGTAAGATTGGGCAACCCTGTCTAACCCCACTGCTCGAATGGAACAATGGAGAGAGGTGGTTGTATGCCTTCAGTCTGCCTGAGGTGTTTTTATATAGGGCTTTTATGATGTTAATAAACTTCTCAGGCACACCCTTCTTCAATAGACAATCCCAGAGAACAGTTCTGTCCAACGAATCGAAGGCAGCCCTGATGTCAAGAAACACTACGATTGTTGACCTTTGAAAAGTATGACGGTGTTCTAACATTTGGCGGAGGGTGAAAATATGATCAATACATCCTCGACCAGAACGAAACCCAGCCTACTCCTCGCGAGTCAATCTTTCTCGGGTTTTGAACAACCTACGAAGTGTGATGGAAGCTAATAGCTTGGACGCAATCGGAAGTAGACTTATCCCCCGATAGTTGTTACAGGAACGACGTGAACCCTTTTTAAAGATAGGGACAACTATCGACTCATTCCATGACGTTGGTACACTCTCTAGTTCCCAAACCTTTGTAAACAACGTCGTCAGTTCCTTAGTCAGTAAGTTGCCACCATCTTTAAAAAGAGCCGGAGGTAAGTCATCTGGGCCAGGTGATTTGTAACGCTTCAAGAGTTGGAGTTCCTTGCGGACTTCCGTCTCATTTGGTTGATCAGTCATCACCGGCCATGGAGTGCAGGACAGTCTGACCGATGTTGCCGGAGCAGCAGGCCAGTTGAACTGCCCATCGTCCAAGACGTCGATGGATGTTAGTGATTGGCATCCCATCATCCTCGCAGATTGTTTCGCTCACACCAGACTTCTTGCTGCCAGTGGCCCGGATGAGTTGGAAGAGCTTCCGGTAGTTACCAGATGCAGCTGCTGCTTCCAGCTCATTAGCACGCTTCGACCACCAGGCTTCTCGGTCCTTACGCAAGCTTTGCCCAATTTCCTTACGTAACATCCTCCGTCTATGGTCAAACTCACGGTCACCCGGAGTAGACCGACGGGCTTCAATGAGTTGTAAGGAACCTGCAGAAACCCAGTGCTTATAAGCGGGACGTTTCGCGAACCCACAACTGACTGTACCCGCCATTTTCATGGCGTCATGCAATTGCAACCAATGCTCATCTATACTTTTCGGTGGAATGGTAGCTAGCCTAGAAACTAGCTCGGTTCGATACTTACTAGCAACAGAAGTTGCAACCAGCTTGCTAATATCAATCCGTTGATGGCGGTCACTTCGTTGTCCACTGAAAAGTAAGGCAAGATTGGCGCAGACCAAGGCATGGTCAGAGTCCAGATAGGTGCTCCAAAAGGAGCGGCAGTCTTGTACACAACCACGCCAGCGGTAGCTGATCGCGATGTGATCAATCTGAATCCAGGCTTGAGATGCAGAGGGAGGACGCCAGGTGGCACATCGGCGATGACTGTGCCGAAAGTTAGTGCTAGTCAGAAACAGGTTGTGGTCTGTGCAAAGTTGCAGTAGACGGTCCCCGTTATCTGACCTGCGACCAACGAGTCCCCATCGGCCACCTAAACGACTCTCTTCTGTGCCTAGACGCCCGACCTGAGCATTCAAGTCTCCGGCTAGTACTACAATATCTGTCGAACGCACTTTCTGGAGAAGAACTGATAACTGGTGGTAAAACTCATCCTTGATTGCATCCGGGCTGCAATCTGTCGGGGCATAGGCGGAGATGACGAAAAGACATCGTTTCTCACGCCGATTTCTTCTCACTTTGATGGAACTCTAATCTAACAGCATATAACCGACTGTTAATGGAGATCCAATTGATTAGTGCTGCCTCAGCTCTAGCGCTTAGTGCGACACCAACGCCTGCAAGACCAGACGAAGATGCCACAGGGTCCCCGGATAAGCGCACCTAAATCAAGCTTTTCGAAGCGACAGATGGAGATCGAATTTGTAGTACTTCGCCAGTCTTGAATACGGGTCTCGGATAGACAACAAACATCAATATTAAGACTTTCTAGAGACATAGCCAGCTCTATCTGTTGTCCGACCTGCATAAATGTGCGAACTTTGAAGGCAGACAGTTTGAATGGTGCACGTGGTTTCAGAAAGACTGCTTCAGTACTCATATTCGGTGGTAACATACAATTTTCAACCGGACAGTAACTCGAGAACATTTAGATACAGTCGAATTTCCACCAAAGACGAGCCGCTGTATAAGTATAAAAGAGGGTGAATAATGTGGAAAATAATAATAATAATAATAATAATAATAATAATAATAATAATAATTTGATTGTTAGTTGAAGCAAGTAAAGTAGTTTCCATAATTATAGGCAGTTCATCATATTTGTGTGTGGGCTGTGATACTGCCCGGGTGCCCGAACCGAAGCAGGTGGTTTTCTTAGGAGACTACTCCCCGAGCCTTCGACCTGAAGGTCTGATCCACAAGGCAGTGGAGCATCGTAAGGAGATGCAGTCCCGTGGAAGCCGGTGACCAACAGCTGTTTCATACGTCATTTGTTTTTTCAGGATACTGGAGCCTATGTGCACCATTGGTTTGGAATCAGGTTAAAGCGCCGGATATTCGCTTTTCGTCCTCTCATTTTCGTGAACACCCCCGCCACGAGAAGGCAATGAGTAGGACTTCCCTGGCAGAGGCTGTATACGCGTGGCCGTGTGAGAGTATTTCGAGAGGGAGAGCGGACTCTCCCCACTCTCGGCCGTACCAGGGCATTCGGGGGCTAAAAAGGCTATCGAACATTGTTTCATAATGGACGGATCTAAATGATTTACGTGAGCTAGAGATATTGTAAGAAAACGGTTCGGACAAAATTATATGGTTAGTAGGTTCTTCATAGACGAAATAGTAGGCTAACCACCAATTAAAAGTCATGATTTTATGGATCTGTCCGATCTAGGACAGAATAGAGTTATGGCGTTCAGAACTTCAGTTTCAAGTCTTCCTTCGAATCTTAGATCTAAGTGGGTAGAGATGAACGTAGAGTATATGTGACAAGGTGGAGAGCTTAAATCTGTAAATTTAGCTAAGTTCGTGGTAGAACGAGCAGATGTAGCAAATCGGATAAACGAGTTAAATGAACTTTAATTCAAACATTATTCAACACTAAGAATAGTATTTTTTTCTTTGTGGTATTCTCCCCTTAACAATAAGCAACGGAATAAAAGTCTAGTCTGTGCCACCTGTAATGAAATCCATTCCTCTTACCAGTGTTGCACACTGGAAAATTGAACACAATCAGAGACAAATGTCATAACACTTATGTCTAAATGTCAAGCATATGGCTAGAAGTTACCAAATCCAAAGAGGAAGTACTATCGAAGTATGTGGCAGGTGACATCGTACATTGTTATATGTGACTAGTGATGTTTCTCAACCTGATGCACATATTAGTATTAATCACGTTTCAGGATATCGACTTATGACTAAAGTGACAGTAGCATCAGAAGAGCCAAGAGCAGCTTTGGCAATAGTTCCGGTGATTCTTTGTTACGGTAATCGAACAAAAGAAACTCTATCTTTCTTCAACAGCGGTTCAAACTCAACGCTCGTCTTGCGAGAATTAGTGAACAAATTTGAGCTAGAGGTCAAAGGTGTCCACATTCGATTGGCTACCATCAATCACTATAGTGGGTGACGGGCCGTAACCTGATTAGATTTGCGATCATGCGAATCCGACTATTGTATGCACGTTGAACGGGCTTACGCAGTGCCAGTTTTGTCTAATGCAAGACGTGTAGAACCTAATGTCAAACAACTACAGTCCTTATGTCATTTGAAAGATGTAGAGCTGAAGAAATGTAAGACTGAACGTGTTGGATTGCTGATAGGATGTGATGTACTAGGGGTTTATAGAATTTCACAACAAAAGTCAGGCAAACTAGGTGAACCTCATGTTATAAGAACTATTTTCGTTTGGACGTTATCGGAGCCATTTGGTGCTCAGGCGAGAAATCAAATAAAGTTAAATTGACTTCACCCCTCGGAGCTTGAGAAGACCGTTGAGATACCTTATCAAGACGTGCTGGATGAACGTCAAACCAACAGAAATGATATGCCAGTGGAAGAAAAGTTGACTCTGAAAACCATGGAAGGATCTGTTGTCTCGAAAATCTTTCAAACGTTTCCATTCATATTCAACGGAGTCGAAGAAAAACCCTCCTTCGAGATAGCAAAATAAGGTCTATACGGCAGCGCAATTATCATCGTTTGTCTTTATCACCCCGTTATTCGTATAGCCCATCTTCATCCATTTCATCAGGTTCCTTATCAAAAGTAGACGATCCTCGATCCATAAATAATGGTTCTCAAACCGACTGTTGTTCTCATCTATCTAGTCATTTGTACTTTGGTTATGACTGACTGACTTGGAATAAAAGTCTCTACTTGATTTATTTTTGATAGTGGGGGACAATAAAATTCAGAACTTAAGTTGACGCTTATCTTTTAGTCCGAAACAATCAGTCGTATGGCCCAAAACTATTTAGTTTATTGTTTTATTCTCTAGTGTCTCCGTGGGTGTTAATTACTCTATGTACTCGTCACTACCTTCAGAAATAAAAAAATCCCCACAAAGGTAAGTTATTTATCGTTGCAGTGCGTTGTACTCAATTTGTGATAAACAATTTTGGTGTTCAGTACATAGATTTTAGTCTTCTTGACTATAAATAATAAGTTCTATGGGTCGCGTCAAAAGGATCATCTCACATCTGTTGGATATGGATTTCATGATGGTGATCATAAAACTCATGGCCTTCCCGGACCCACTCACAAAAACTACAAACTACATGTCCTATGATTTACTTTTCAAGAACTCTTGGTCACTAAATAAATGTGTAACTACCACTTAAGTTTTTGTTGTACATTTTAGGACACTATTATGATTCAGTTGATGGATCTTTTCCGATTACCGGAAATTAATCTTCTATGTTCTATTATAGATGTAAGTCGTATTATTAGAATCTATTTTTTAGCGCTTACAAATTTTTAAAATTATCATTGTTTTACTTAAAAATACTGTCACTCTCCATTTATATTTTTTGTTCCAATTACTATTTTGTATCTGGATCAGTTGGCCGATAAGTTTGTTTATGTTATATAAAGAAGTCGTTTAGAGAAGTTTATTGGTTTTAAAATACCTTTCAAAATAAGCTGATATCGGTGAAAAAACTACTAGTTTTCTGTTTCAGTTTAGTCTGAGCTAGTTATTTACGATGAAACAGTCAAGGACAAGCTTCAATGTTTGGGAACTACAAAGTGTTTCTTGATATTATCAGGTCGTTGTTACCAAACTTTTTACTAGAAACCAAATTAAAGGTGGTGATAATACCATTAGTACAAAGACCTAAAATAGTACAGTCAGTTAAAAACAGGGAACAATAAGCACACATACCAAACAGTAATAGGAACGCAACGAAATTACTCAATGAGGAAACTAGTCATATTTGTAAAAAAGGTACAATTTCATGACCTATAGTTAAACAGAGAATAACCAGTTCAAGGTCAAAACTGTGTATTAGTGGTATGTTTTTAACATAAATTTCTATTCATTGATTTATTCTTACCAGTCAAGATTCATACTTATTTACTAATCTTATTAATAAAGATTTTGGTATTATTTATTAGAATCTGACACTGATTTAAAGTTGTACTGCCCGTTAGCTTTCTCTGAGATTATAAAAACCTTGGGATTACAGGGAAACAGAAGGTGTAGCTGTGAGACTCTCAGTTTCCCTAGTTGTCACTGACTTGATCATGGACTCGTCGGAAACAAATGTAATTTCAAAATGTTCTTTTTCACCTAAAATCTGGTTAAGTTACTTTGAAAATACATTTTTTATTACAAAACGAGATGGATTAGATAAACTTTTTGATCATGTTAACAATATGTCAGATGGAATCAAGTTCACTAGATATGGAATCTGATGACCACAAACTAGGATTTATTGACTGCTCATTCGAAAGAGAACGCAATAATTATTTGCGAATTCATTTATCCCAAAAACCAGGATTCCGAAAAATACTCAACAGACAGGTCACCAAATCACTATCAGTGACGGTAACAGTTGCGAAGATTGTGATTAGCAGATTTCAACAACTCATAGCAGAATTGAAGCATTAAAAGACCTAGTTAGATTTAATTGTAACTACAACGATAATAAATGATAATCTCAAGGACTTTATAAATAAAATAATTGAGAATAGGAACGAAAAATTGCATATGAAGGTCTGACTGAATGAGTGATTACTTCAGTGTATCCGTGATACCGTAAAGAATCTTTAGCGAATATCTGAAAGATCCCATACCACCAAAACGTATGAATATTTTTGCCTTTCAAACTGTGCTGTACGTTTTAAGTTAGCAAAAATCAAACATTAGTGTGGTACTAAAAAAATGTTAAACTGTGAGATCCTGCGATTCTTCTATTAATATACAAGCTTCCAAACCAGCTACTTGAATGAAAAGGGAGCTTGAACGACTAAAACCTAATTCCATATAAACCTTAGATAACTCGAAAACGTTTAGTAGACACCACTAGATTTGGCGGAAACTGATCACTTGATCGACTTGGATAGAACAAAAATCATTCGGGTAGATTTTTTTTTTCCGTTTGCAAAATATAGTCAACTCTTATCAGTTTTATGAAGTACATATTAATCATTCCAACAGTAACTGAATAGACAGAACTACTTGGAAATTAAAAATAATTAACCTAATAAAAACAGTACTTCTGACAAGAGCCCATCAACTTGAATGATATATGACAACTTAGAATTAACTTAGAATCAATTCTGACAGGAAATAGATAAAATAAAAACAGGAATAAAAAATCGGTTCACTGAATAAAATCTGACTAGAAAGTTGAAGTTTGAGTAAAATCGAAATCTTATCTAGTTTTAAACTAATCACTTTTATGTTTCCGGCATCAATTACAAGACTCAGTAGTTAATACAATCTTGAATTCACTTTTATCATTAGGGAATTTTGTTCAAAATAGACACAGGATTATTCGTTTTTCAGCATTTCAAATATTATTTTAATACAATCAGCATTGATCAAAGGCCTAATGTATTTATTCTGCTAGATTACTAAGTTTAACTAAAATTCTGATCTGTTAAGTAAATTTTTTATGTTTACTAAAATGTTATAATAAACTGTCTAAACAAAAATCTTTCAGTTGCTGTTGTCATGGAAGCTTGATGAAAACACACATCTCATAATTATAATTATTCAACAAGATTTTCGTTGACATTTTTGTTTTCTCCACTAATCGATATGAGCTAAATTAGTATTGATAGTCAAGTGAATTAAGACTTGTACAATGGACACTTATTTAATTAAATAATATGTTGATATCTTAATTGAGACAAGAACTTTGAGTTACTCGAAACCTAAAAACGAGGACGTTTTTCATTATCTATACGAATATTCGTTAATATTAGAACGAATAGTTTGAAGAAAATTGCGCGCCAATTATGAAGAAGTCATTATGTGTGGAAATTATATTTGAAATAATCTCAGCGATTAAAATTTAAATAATTTCATTGTTTCGTCCAGCAAACTTGTCTGGACTTCTTCAACTTGCACTTTTATTTTTTCCTTATATAAAAGCAAATTTAACACATGATATCAATCATTAATAACTCACTCTTACAAATACACGCACAATTCATTCATTTTCACATTGTGAACTTTTTACATGATTCTCATTTAACCAACTCATGTTATCCTATTTACCAAAGTTAACATCCAAATATGATTGGATTAGCACAATAAAGATTTGATTTGATTGTTAAACACTATACATTTATTTGATAATTTTGATTTTGATTATTACCCTGAAGAAGTTCAGACCAGTTTGCTGGACGAAATGTTGGAAATATTTAAATTTCAATCGCTGAGATTATTATTTCAAGTATAATTTTCATGTATAATGTTTTTCATTATCCTTTGATTTTCAATTATTACTATTTATTTACTGCTACAATGACTTTTTTGACAATACTTTGCTTTCAATCAACCAAATAATTTTTTTTCTCATTTACAGTTTTTTGATCGACATGGAATAGATTATAAGCCTGTTTATGTTTATCAGGATGTTTCTGTAAGTGTTCTTCAATTATCTAGTAGCATGCAGAAGTTTCATTGTATTGTTGTTATTATTATCACTTATAATCGTCACGAAAGCACTATAAAATTATATAAGCCTCATTTTCCAATTAATATTTGCAGACACTATATGATAAACATACCGGTCAGCGAAAAAATATACCGAATATTAGGTCAGGATTTCTTGGTTTTATTGTAAAGTATGCGTTGAACATGTGATATATGGAATAAAAATCATAGTACCCACTTATAAATTAATTCAGTGACTGACTGTAGGTCTTTAACAGAGTATTTCCAACATGTTATTGATTTACGTTTATATACGAATATAGCATTTTCCGGTTATACTGTCATATTTTATATTCATTGTTAATTTGATCCTGTTTTAAAACTCATTATTATGGTATGTTCACCATCACTTTGTCTGTGCATCGTAATTAAGTACTAAGATTTTTCAGACGTACATCCTTCTCAATAAATAGTCTAAATTCTTTATTATCGTACGTATGTCGAATCGCTACTCCTATATATCATGCTCCGTAGATATTCAACTTCCAAGTGATGTGTACATTAATCATTATAACAACACATATAAGCGAACAATTGTTTTCAATTAGATCGTCATCAGGCTGTACTCTAATATACATGAATATTTATACGAAAATGTTAAACCAATCAAAGCAATTTGGGTCAATAATCACAATGAAATAGAACAGGTCACCACACATAATAAGTAAAAATACATGTTGATAGTATGAAGACAGGTGTACTGATAGTAGTAAAAATAATAAAATATGATAACAGTAGTCATCAATAGTTCGTGGATTGTTTGAGGTTAGACATTAACACCATTGGATGCCGGCTCAGTGGTTCAGTAGGTTAAGCGTTCGCACGCAAGACTGAAGGCCCTGGGTTCGAATCTCACGAGCGGGATCGTGGATGCGCACTTCTGAGGAGTCCCACAACAGGACGAGACGGCCGTCCAGTGCTTCCGGGTTTTCAATGGTGTTCTAACATCAGTCGGTTCATGATCTCAATCAAAAACAATAGTTAAACGTTGAAAATAGGAGGTCAAACGTGGGTAAATAGACTTGGAATAGCCATCACAAAACATTAAAATCATTACGTAATAAGAAGTGTGTAAATAATTAGGTCCCAACCGTTGTTGCTACCTGGACGTGGTGGTCGAGCCTGCCTATCGTGATGAAGCAACCAAGCTATACTGGCTGGAACAACCGTTCCTCAAGGTCCTAACCATGTTAAACAGGTTGGTTGAAGAGCGGTATGACTAAAGGCAACAAACTCATGGTCCGAAGGCGAAGTCGTACTGCTGACTGTACAGAGGTGTGACAGCAGTAAGGTGTTTCCTTCAGACAACCAGAATGACAGCGATGCTACCTTCCCACAAGGAGGGGTGGGGTTAGAAAAGGTCAACCCTAAAAATGCACACCGCATTATCCCATGGATATCCGTCTCAGGCGGTACGGTCTCAAGAAGTACGGAGCTAACACAAAAATTACCGATAGAAAGGTCGTGTGTGACCGACCTCAAGCAGTTGTCCCTTGGGCACTGCGGTCACTAAGATCACCTCTAATCCAATTTACTTTTCAGGTACCTCAAGAAGAACCCCTCCACGATGTGGTCAACCGAGAAGTGAAAACCGCTCTCATACCTCTAACAGCACTCAAGACCGACTGAAATAATTAGATAGTGAAGAATACAAACGGAAGGAGGCGGAAAATTACAAGCAAATAAGGGATGTGAAAATAAGGTTAATGATGTCAAAAATAGTATTAAATAATAAAAATTAACAAAAAAATCGTTAGTTAAGTTATAACTGGCCATGGAAGGGGTAGGGGATTACGAATTTCTTCGGTACACATAAATTGGGATTATATGCACGAATTCCTATGGCTTCAGCTATATGTGGGAGGTGGGAACGAACTTCGTTGGGAAATGATGGAGGTATACGATAGATCACTCGAAATGATTTCGAAGTTGCCTGGCAGTACGCCCGATATGGCTATCTCCACACGAGCAGCTGAATTCGCAAATGCACATTGAGGTGGCTAACTCAGGTAATTTATCCTTCGATTGGGTAGACATCGCTGGTCGACGAGAGAAAGTCAATCGTACATATAACCCCAATTTATGTGTACCGAAGAAATTCGTAACCCCCCTATCCCTTCCATGGCCAGTTGTAAGTTAACTAACGATTTTTTTGTTAATTTTTATCATTATTTATTTATTTTATTCTATGTTTGTCATCATTAACCTTATTTTCATATCCATTATTTGTTTGTAATTCATAGGCGTTTGTTTGTAAATATGTCTATGTGTGCATTGTAAGGATGAAAACTGTGTGACCTTTATGGTGAGAAAGGATAAAGTTTTATTTGTAAGATAATAATGTGAATTGTGAATAATATCAGACTAGGTGGCTAGGATAGATAGTCCAAGTAGAACAAATGATAAGGCCTTCTTTTCTATTGAGAACAGTAGGATTAAGCATTATATGGAACGCTTCAGCTACTCTCCTTTCTTTGTAATTGGAAAAGCCTTTTTTGCAATATTTTGATATTTTTGAAATTAATTTCATGGTCTTTGAAAATCTCATGAACTGCTATTGCCGATTTAATTTGAAGTTTATCCAGTTCTACGGGATTGTTAGGAGGTTTTTTTGTGTTCCTAATATGTTCTTTGGCTCTAGTCAAGATTTCGCAAGATGACTCTCCAATATAGAAAGCATCACAATCGATACAACCTAATTTGTAGATGCAGTTCTGTGTTGACATGAAAAGAATTTTTCTTGATTCGGTTATTTATTCTCTGAGGAAGTGGCTTACACTAAGTCACGAAACATCAGGAAATCTAACTATTCTATTCATTGGGATATTACAAATATATTATTTATATATAACAATCTACCCAATGCTCAATTTATTCAAAATTATCAAGTCAAACCTTGGTAATGATACCTATATATCTATTTATTTATTTAAAGTCAACATGATAATACTAACAATTCTCATCCCATGTACACTTATCTTTTAGACAGCTGTAGCAAGAGTCCATAAATCTGGCCTTCTAGGTCAAACCGTAATGTCTGATCCAGGTAACTTAATACAGTCTATCTCTAGATAGTATGTGTGTCTTATTTTTTGTTCGATAAATTACCAATACTAGTTTTAATCCCACTTCGTTGTTTTGAGAGGTTTGATCGATCACTATCCACTTTGTTTTTCAGCAATACCTGAACACTGAGGGAGTTGTGTTTTTTACTTACTTATAAAGTTTATATCTGTACATTGTTGATGGGTTACCTTTGGGATAGAATATAAAAGCTTTGTTTTTATGGCAATTTAATTTTTAAAAGTTCTTAGGTTCGGATGGTACTTGATGAATTCTAACATGTTTTTCAATATCATTAAGAACAATAAGTGTTGACGTCAAACTGTGAAAAGTAACGTACTAATGAGAAGCTTCAGAATAGATAGGGACGTTCATTGTATCATAACTTTCATTGATTATTCCATTAATTGGTTAAAGATCTCCATCATATTAAAAGACTAATATTTGAATAATGCCTACTTTTAAGAAAACTAAGTTTTAATTTAACATGTGTATCCAACCTATTGAGAATATGATTCATTTTAACTTTACAGAAAGGTATATTGCGAAGGCACCAGAACTATCTACGTTTTTATATCGCTTAGTAAAAAATAATAAGAAATTATTTGTTATTTCAAACAGTTCAGCTGCTTACATGTAAGTCTACATCGTTTAAAACCAATCGAAGAAAATTATTTAAAAATATCTGTATAAACAGTCATTCTTTCATTGATCAACATTACTATCTTCAGCTTTCAAAACGTACTAACTAATTAATATGTATTGAATTTATTAACGCATACTTACAAGGTTAACTAATCGTATGGTAAGAAGTGAACCTAGTGAAACGCTATGAGAATGCAAAGACGCATAGTAAGGTAAGAAGCCTGTGAAAGTAATACATTATAAACAAGTTTATCAGTAGAGAATAGCTTAACAACAATTCACTTTTATTTGAAGTGGGCGCTAAGAATTCCGTTTAAAATGTCAGTAAAACCTTGGGGAATTTATTATTTAATTCAGTGTAAACAACATCACTAAAAGTCTCCTATTACTAAATGTTTTATACTAACCATTATCTATAGCTCTAATCTCAGTTTTCGTTTTGTAACTAGTGAACATCGATGATTTCTTATCGAATATTTCTGTAAGCGTCTCAAACAGTTGTTTCTTTCCATGGGGAATACAACTTGATTACATTTTTCGCAGAGAAATCACGTTTCTGAAGACATAATATACCAGTAATAACTTTATTGTATATTAAAAAAATATTCTCTAGTAAGACTATTGAATATCTCGATATCATTACTAACAACACAATTAATTCGAAACGTTATCACTGAACGACTAATAATTTTACTAGCACTGAACAACGTGTTTCCTGTTTCTTAAAAGAGGGAATTTCATACAAACAGTATGTTTAACTAATAATATAAATAATTATCTTATCCACATGATTATATTCACTTGGCTTTTTGTTAATTTAATTCTCATTGGTACATTACTTTCGTTCATTCACCAAAGATCACACGACGACTGTAGCTTATAGATTAAGTTTGATCCGTTAAATTGTAGACCCTGATGGGAGCATATTCAGTAAACGAACACCTCGCCATGTTCCTATCCCGTTTCATCCGCTTCAGTTCAAGCAGTCGGATAATAAAACAAACTCCCACACTGAATATCTGGCCCATAGCGGTGTACACCAACCTGTTTTTATAATCAAAATACTTTATTATTATTATGTTTATACTGTATTAGAATGTTACTTTATGGTTGTTTGTTTCCTAAACTATCTACGTTTATTTGTTTTATTCACTCACTAATTTATCCTACTTTCATAATTCATAACTAAAGAGATAGGGGTTTGAAATTTTTGGTTGGAAACGACTGGCAAGAATTATTTGACGTGATCATTTCTAGAGCCAATAAGCCATCGTTCTTTAAATCACCACTCGGGTTAGTCTCACATTTTCTTCTATTTATATGTATCTAATTGTATTGTTTATATGACTTCGTTGCTGTATGTTTCATCCGATTCGGTTTCTAATAAGTAATTTTACCCCATCACCAAAAACTTCACGGTTTTCTCATCGTTAGTGTATACCTTACTCTTGTAATACTTACTAGTCCTTAAAATAAAGCCAGGGACTTATTAACCAAATGTATTTATCTTCTTAGAATATCAATGTAAGGAGGTTTCAAAAGTACTGTGTTATGTGATGGGATCGCTCGAAATGTGCTAAATATTTTTCAAATCAACTCCCTTCACTCATTATACTTTCGAGGTTTCTAAAGTTGCGGCAGTTACTCTTAATATAGTTTTGTTGTTTTTAGTGAAGACCTCCTAGCTGTAATTTCAAATTTACGTAGAGTTCGTTTTTTGTTATCATACGAAGTAAGAAGTTAGATGTTTCAATATAGCGTGGATTTATTTATCATTGTCACTCCTAATGATTTGTTCGTGTGCCTTATTTACTGTCACCTCAAATTTTATGTCAAGTATACATCATGCAGTCATGTACTTATCCGTATAACTTTTGCAAAGCTGATGTTCTCTCAAAATCCTCTAATTTTGAAAATTTTATTTCTAGTTAGTTGTCTCTATTTGAGTAAACGAAATTATACTCTTTTTACTATTTAAGTAGTTAAATTTACTATGAAAAATTGTTTTGACTGTTCTATACTTCCTGATTATCATGTAAATAAATTTTGTTGAATCAACACAAATTGCCTTCTCTGATAATCAGTTCCTCTGTATTGAAACCCATAAATTCAATTTAGTGTGAATAAATTGTTAATAGGCTGATCACTATCAGGATTCACAAATGACAACCTGTCTTGTATGAACAATCGTGACTCTCATTTAGGTTCGTTATATTAAACTAGTGTGTCTTTCAATTCATTAACGATAAAACTCATGTATTTTACGGTTAAATATATGTTAATACATTTGATTTATTGATTAACGACGAGAGAATTGATAATAACTATAACCTACTAATATGTTGACCGTATTGAAAGTTGGATAAAGTAACCACAGATTAGAAATACCACCCCTGTAGATTCAGTGGGAAATATCTGATTGGCACCACTTTAAAGTATATATATATATATATTTTTTCCCTCGATAAAACAAGTGACAAAGCTGGGAAATGCGGATGCCCTACCAGACCACTCAATGTAATCTTTTAGATAGAAGGATAAGTGGTCATTATTAGTGTTTTCGTTCGACAAATGCAATTTACCACACTCTTAATCATATTCCTCTGACAAGTCGACTTATCCAGATGTTAGGGGGCTCCTATTAGCAACTGAGCCGGACCACGGGTGAGAACATTTTCTTGCAATAAAAATTTGCGATCGAGCTCTTTAGTGTTAATCTTAACATAAGAACTTATAATTATTCTTGAAGTTGTATAACTCAAGACTATTTGAGATTATGGTAAAGAACCGCCTACTCCATTTCTCTTAAACTCCTAATCCGGTCAAATGAAGTATCAGCCAAATTCACGATCAACAATCTTGTGAAGTTTTGTTTTGATCTCAATACAATACATTTGAATTCTAGTTTAGAAGGTCTGATGACCGATTGTCTGTGAAATTTCCGAAATGAGATAAGGGTTGATCAATGATTATTCTCTTTCAGTGATTAAATACAATAGAACATGAAGATTTTTACAGTTCTTTATCACTATTTCTAAAAGTTTTAAGCGAACTGTAAAACAAAAGACTGAAGGACAAGGTTATGATGTAAATCTGTGCATTTATTTGGAAAAAAATCTGTCTGTTGTATAGAATAAAAAAAAACAGAACAATAAGACTTATCTAGTAATAATAACAATACTTACAATTCAAGCTCATTATAACTCATTCGCTTTTGTATCTGGCTTAGCATATAGTTTAGACACAAGTAGTATGTAATTTCAAGCATTTATTTTTCTCAATCGATTAATTAATTGAACAATTCAAGTCAAAAAATATCAGTAAAACTTTTCACTTTCTAATTTCAATACTTTCTTAATAAAGCTTGTTTTCTTTACACTGTTGTTTTTATACAAACTGAAATTAACTGGTCGTGATTAATATAAATAAAACAAGACGAACGTGATTTACTGAATAACATGAATTCATTATATTTCAAGGTTTCTCATTAACTGAGACCGATGTAAATATGCCTTAATGATATTATTATGCAACATTTTATATGTTCTTTCTAAATGTTCAAATTAAAATTGTAGTCATTCCGACTAAGAGTATATCTGTACTTATGAATGAACCAATTCTTCGGGATTAGTAATGTGTAATATGATATTGTCTTTCGTCTGAGAATATATATATATATATATAATTGAAAACATATACCGGTTTAATTTGGAAGGTGAATTCCCTTTGTAATCATTCTGCTCATCATCTAACTTTAGACCCTATCTTTCCTGTGAAGTGGGGCCTAGTTATTTGTCGTAGCATTCCTCATATTAATGTCCATCATTTTCGGGAAACAAATTCTATTGGTTGATTCATAAACACATATCCCTGAGCTTTTTCATTTCATGATTCCGCATCCTATAAATATTAGGTCATATCTCCTATCCCATGAATTTTAAGTTATTTTCAAACATTTTGTAGGCAATTTCGACGTACTGATATCAGTGGGACTTTCAAACATTGGGAAGCAGTTCAAACATTTAAACGAGGTCAAATATATGAAGGAGTATGTCTTCAATTACTTGTGATATATTTTCACCATAATGACAATAATAATAATATTCTGAATATTCGTTTCCCAATATATGATATCAGAAAATGTTTCTCGATACAAAATATGTTAAGTGATTATAAAGATGTTCTGGTAACACGTAAGTACATTCAGCCAATAGAAGTAATTATTTATTTAAAGTGAGAAGTTTTATAGCAATATGTTCAAGCTTAGAAAAATAGCAGTCGAAAATTTTGAACAGACCCTGATGTGTCCTTGTCAAATAATAATCAATGTTGACCAAATTTGTCGGTTTATACTGAACAGAGCACAATATTTGAATCGAATGCGAGGCAAACTTTTATTTGTGTTATCTTAACTTCCTTAATTTTACCATACTTTGATTTTACAATATGACACTGTCATGAATCTTACAAAAATGGTCACAGTTGTACTTTTACATTAACTAATTGGTTATCATCGTTCAAATGATTAACATTGGTCAATATTTAGGTATCTATAATGGTTTCCATGTGATTTTGTTATATTTATTTTGTGTCAAATAAATTTTGTAAGATACACACCTAAGGCTATTCAACGTTCAATAAACCCAACGCTACAGATGTAACTAAGGCTCCTCTCGATCATGATATTGTTTGCGTTTCAATTAGTTAAGAAATTCACATCAGGTTTGTAAAGAGAGATTTCATTAGATCCCTTTTCGGAATTGTTTTATAGCTATACACTCCTGTTGACCTTGGATCCCTTGTTATTAATAACGTATCAAGAAACCTATGTAAAAGCCAACTATAATAATATTCCGAGGAACGACGTTTAACTGGCTGCTTCGTGCCTATTGTTGACACCAATATGATTGAGCGATATTGATGCCAATGAAATATATAGCCTGCTTAACTATGTATAACTCTGTCCACCAATCATGTTAATAAAACCTAGAAATAAAAGGTCGAATAGGAGTTGCATTTGGGACATATTTCAGACACTCGTGTAAGTAGACAAACTAAATGAGTGAATAAGGAAATTGAATAGAGGCTCGCGGGAGAAACTGAAAAAGTCTACTCAGTGAAAAAAAGGGTGAATTAGTATTTAATAAGGTGAATAATATATCAATTATAGATTTAAAAAATGAGTGTATTAATATGACGGGAAGAAAAGTCAAATTTAGATTGACTTACTCATTATGATTTTCGTTCAACGTTACTTCCTTTTTAATTCAATGTGATCATTACCCAATGTACGATAATCATGTGTTCAATTGACATGAACTATGCACAGCATGACATGCAGCATGTGATTTGTTATAACTGTATTTTTCATATATATGTGATTTCATCCTAATTATTAATCAAAGCGGGTGTACAATCAATAGATAAATGAGTGTATTTTCAACTGGAGTCATCGTCGTGTTTTGGGGTTAATAAATTTTCACTTGTACCAGTCTTTGTGTTCTTACTTTCTCGTCGTGGGGATTGCAGTGGTTCCTCGTTTTCGAATATAAGTGATAAGCGATTCCCATATAATAATCAGCGACGACCCGATATGACAAAATAGCGTGCAATCGAGAAGACTTATCAAGTATAGATGACAGACACGCAAGGCCAGCACAATCGAAATACATTTAAATTAAACGGTAAATAATGAACAAGGGGACATTTAATAAAAAAGATAAGGAAGAATTTAAGCAAATTGATCAAGACATCACTGCATATAATCTAGTCGATAAGGTTTTAATTAAACATGGAAATGTAAAAGAGTCATAAGACAGTTTATATCAGTCTCCTTTTAACTCATGATAAGATTGTGAATATATGATTAACAGTTTATGATTTGAGTAATTTAGAATCACCTCATCTTCTATTTCCTTCTTCCATAGATCATGAACTGAAATTTATAGATGAAGGTTTATAAACAATGTAAAACGTGTTTGTTTTTCATGCTTAAAATAAAAAATGTGATAATTGTTTAATAGGTTGTTTACTTTTAGCTAATAAGAAACGACCGATTGTCTTGAAATGATATAACGAATGGTTTAAAATATTTTTCTCTCTCATTTATTCTACTATCGTACGTTAATACAATAGTGCGACTAATCACGTTATATCAAGTCCAGGATTCACAATCCACAGTAGAGAACCAGATTAACACCAGATGGTACATTATTCAACACAATTACAAACAGTCACTCTCAATAAATCTGGAGTAGAAATGAATGGGGAGAGGAAATCACATATTTACTAGTCAGTGGGTTGCGTCTGTATGTCCACACTCAATGACCAACTACACTTTAATTTCACTATAACTAAGTACTCCAAAGTGGTGGTATATCCAATAAATGATTCAAATCATTTTGATTTGTTCAGTTTAGCAAAACCATTTTTTGTTAACCTTTAAGTTCTATTTAATATTTGATTTTAATGCTTGTATTTCTATTTTTCTAGGGTTGTTTAGAACAGATGATAAAACTTACAGGTTGGTCTTCAGCTAGTATATTATATTTTGGAGATCATGTCTATGCTGATCTTGCAGTAAGATTTGTTGAATTTAATCAAATTTGTATCCAGAATAATATTGTAATTCTATTTATTTATATATTAATTGTGATGAAATGACCAAATTATTATTGTATACTTTAGACTAAACAATTATAGGCTCATTAATTAATCAATCACTTTTATATCATAATAAATTTTAACATGACCTGATTTCACAACACACAATACGGTCGGATGTTTTTAAATTATCTTAAATTTTGATAGAACATTGAGAAGCGGAATTGCTGTGAAAAGTGTGATTTATTTGTACTACACATTTTGAACAACCTGGTCACATATATACACTTGCCAAGGCATTTTATACACAAATTAATAAAGGTCAATTAAATAAGAGTTCAAATAAACAAAATAATTATTATAAGGTTTTAGAGATTATTGAGTTTTTACTGAGATCAATAGCTGATCAGTGTTATACCACCCTTTAAAACCTAGAAATACTGAACAGCCGTTTCGTCCTAGTATGGAACTGCACTGCAGTGTACACCCACGATCCCGCATGCTGTGGGACTCGAACCCAAGACCTCCGATCTGACGCGAACACCTGACCTCTAGACCACTGAGCCGGCATCCAGAGGTGTTAATATCTATCTTCAACTAATCCACGATATTGCGCGATCATCTTCGGTGGATAACTGCCCCATACCCGAAACGTTTGAACACCACTGGTCATGTCTTCTCACTAGAACTCTGAGAATGAACTTTTGAAGCTAGCTACCAGTAAGGATATTATAATTATCAGCATAGAGTTGTGGAGATTGTTAGACCAACAGCTCTATGCTTATACTATCCTATCAAATGATATATTAACTTTTGTATTATGTAAATAATTTGTTTTACGTGATTAACGATTTTTCATACGTCTACTTTAATTAGTGTATGAGTTCCTTCTATTAAAATAAGTTATCCTAATTTTTTATTCGCATATAATAATCAGCATTAACTTAGTCGTGTGTATAAGGTAACTTGCGTCATTTTACCAGTTTCAGAATAAACTGTTATCAATTTTTCAATATACATTCTGTTGTAATTGTTATGTATGTATTTTTGTGTGTTTTTATGGACATTTATTTTTCTTGTCAGGAAGGAGACATATATAATGTAGTCAGGAATTATATTTCTCGGTTAAGCCAGCTCATTTATTATTTTTTTTAAATTGTTCGTACACATTTGATGATTGACAAACCAAACATTAAAATTGATATATAACTCATTATTACCACTATTTGGAATATCGTTTAATTAGTGGCTGGTGAATAAATCAATCTGCTTCTTCAGTCTTGTTTTCTACTTTTCGTCAACAAAGTAGTCTTATTCCGTCACAATAAGTAGCAGGCAGAAGTATTTCTCAGTCTTAGTAAACATCATTATCAATAGCAGAAATCAGTACTTAGCTCAAGTTACACATAATTTTGTCAAATTAATGTGTTTCATGACATTACAGTTATTATCAAATGTTGCTGAAGATGCCACTTTACTTGTGAACTTCAATAGATTTCTTTCTTTATCTACTTAAATAAATAATTAATTTCTAAAATAATTAATTATTATAAAATTTTCTAAAGTTATTTCTTACAGTAGTTCACAATACTCTCCCATTTACTTGAATGTATGTAGTCTCACAGCTCATCCATCAATGATGAATTAAATTGAACATATAAATAAAAACCTTTTTTTCAAAAATGTATAATCCTTCATAATTATTAATACCTTTAGCAGTGTAATGTTCACTTTTTATAGCCTTCAGTATGATACTGTATTCAGTGTTTTTATTTATTCATTGTATCATTTTACTTATAATAGCTCATCAACCCTATGGGTTTGAATTTTCACTGTGGTACTACAGAAACTAATAACTGGATTGTAAGGGATATAGATCAGGCTTGTGTTAACTCTGAATGACGTCAGTTTTCACATATTTGTCAGATTTTCTTATTCGTATGCCCCAGCAAGTTATCTATTCCATAAAATTTATCTGCCATGAAAATACGCGTATAGTATACGTTGAATTGATGACTGATAACAAGTAGTTTTTGAAGTTACTAGTCAATGTAGAAGTTAAAAATCCTTTTCCAATCCATCGCGAAGAATCGTGTTCACATTGCTCTACTAAAGAGAGTCAAATCAGATAATTTTTAGACGGAAACTAGAATTGGTCAGGTTTATTGTTGCGCAAAAAAAGATTTTATTTGGTCTTCAATGTTGAGTGGATGATTGCGTCATATATCACATTGGATTTACCAGTTAACGTGTGTGTATGATCTATGAACAATAGAGTAGTCTAACTATACAATTAAGAGTGGTGAAATATATGTGGCGGAATGGATGAAAACTTACAGTTTCAAACTCAAATAAATTCAGCGTATTTACAACCATTATCCTCCATCGACGAAGTATATAACTGGAACAGAATATAGGGTTGACCTAAAACAGTTTTCAATCCTTAAATAAAACTTGCCAAGAAGTTTTTCTTCAGTTTATAGAAGTTCTACTCATTAGAAAATTCATTCCTCTTTTATGTTTTTAAACAGCAATTTGTACTCTCTTCGAACTTCCCGTGATTATCTTTAACCATTGTTTAATGCCAAGTCTGGCACCAATATTTGATATTTCTATTTCTTATTTTTATACTATCTCTTGTGATCGTTTATATTTTTACCGATCACTATTAATTAATTTGACCTTTCTTTATATTTATGTAAATTCCCTTGAAAAGTAAGTTCATAATCCTAATTTATCCGTAATGCCTCGCTGAAGTACATCACATTTTCTTAAGATCAACTTTGTCTTCTCATTATGCTACATTTTTTCTATGGAAGTTTAGTCTAAATAAACTTTTCGGTCACATAGTTTTCAATTATGGATCAGTATCCAACTTCCGCTTCATATCAAACGAAGTTATACAATAAACAGTGTTGTTCATGTTTGCGTTTGTAGTCTTTATTTTCAATCAACCTTTACTAACTTTAATCATAGAACGAATAATTCATTGGTAAATATGAAGTAAAATTTTCTTTCCTGACACACAATCAATGTATTACTATGTAGAATCATGCTGGAAATTAAATCAATTTTGTTTTTATTTTTATTAGGATGTAGCCAGTACATATGGTTGGATGACTGGAGCTGTTATACCGGAACTTGAAAGTGAACTTATTGCTGCGAATAATCATGATTTCAAAATTAATTTAAAACGTTTAAGAATGCTAGAAAGATTAATTCAGGAAAACCAAGTAAATTTGATTTGAATAGTCCTATTAACTTAATTTTGTTAACAATTATGAATCTCATCAAAGCCTCATTTTTTTTAAAAAAGCTCTAGTTTTTATTTATAGCATTTAATTTTATAAAGGTTAAACATTTTTTTAAACTTCGAATTTACTCGTTTGATGAACATATAAACAATATGAAAGTGTACGATGTTACCTATCAACTTACTAAAAAAGAAGTATTGTATAACTTGGTTGTTATTATTTATTAAGGAACATGAATCAAGTTGTTTTAGCTTTGAGCACTTGGTGGGTAATTACTGATTTTATGACTTATAAACTAATAAGCTGAGAATGCTAAATACTTTTTAAAATAGATAATTTGAATTGACGTTAATTAACACTTGAACTTCAAAGAAATGCTTGACTATATATACTGCTATGTCTAATAAGTACACGGACCAAAAAGTTGTCTTACAAAATCCAAGGTATGCCAATCTAATTTACTATAAATACATTTAACCCAACTCCTCTCTCCATAGTAACAATTACTGCTCCCTGAGATGGTGGTCAGGCTTGCCTATCGTAATGAACCGATTGAGCTATACTGGCTGGAACAAGTACGGAACTAACACGAAAACCACTCCCAAAAATGTCGTGTGTGATCGACCTCACTCAGTAGTCTCTTGGGCACAGCAGTCACTCTGTCAGGTCCTTAAGACCACGTCTAATCCAATTTCCTTTTCAGGTACCTCTAGAGAAACCCTTCCGCGGTGTGGGCAACCGGGAAGTGAAAACCGCTCTCATACTTCTAACAGCACTCAAGACCACTATGTTTATAATCAACCTCCCTCTTCAATTCCTATTGTTCCTCCTTCATCAACTTTCAACGCCAAACTTTATATATTTCAAACATACTTTGTTTATATACCAACCAAGCATACCACATCGTACCATAAAATAGGAAACAACATTTACAAAATATTTAACAAGTGAAATAAACATCGACCAATAAGAAATGTACATTTAAGGTTCAAGGACACCATTGGACTTAACATGATAATTATTGGTCTCTTTTTCCGACTATCCTAACACCTCCCCTTTTTCGAAAGATGCGGAGTTCATATCTGCGTTTTAAAATTTTCTGCGTCCGTCCTCCCCTGCGAAATAACGTTGGGTCCTCATATACCCAAGTAACAGTTAGTCTGACTCTATTTAAAGCATATTTCGCGCATTGAGTAGAGGGTTCACTAAAACTGACTAGATGATGAGGATTAGCGACACCAGACATGAGGTCATTAAGGTTTGATTCTTGTGCAACATATTCTTCAGACCTCTTCAAAATTCCATCAGTGGGTAATAGGTCACTAATATAAACAGCATCTTTGAAATTCGTATTGGATTTCTGACCATTATTTGATGCACGGGAAACATTTTCTGGCACGAGGGGTTCTTCTTGTAAGCTGGATACCTCACATGTTTCAGGCACAGTGGGATTTGAACCCACAACAGGGCATGCTTCTGGATTGGACGAACGATTCTAGTGCTCAAAACACTGTCCCAGGTCTACTGAAACCTCGCTCCAAACTACACACTGGAGCCTTCAACGTACGCACTCTATGTCAAATCGGTCAACAGGCTTCTTTGGCTAGAACCCTAGAATCTCGTACCATTGATGTATGCTGTGTCTCTGAAACACGCATACAGGATCCTAGTGTGGTCATTAACTTTACCTCACCTCCGCAAAACGGAGAGCCAACGAGATACACCCTCCGTGTATCTTGTGACCCGACAGCCAGCTCTCGTGGACTAACAGGTGTGGGCATCGCACTAAGCATGAGGGCGGAATAAGCACTATTAGGGTGGATCTCCGTTAACAGTCGCCTATGTGTTGTTCGGCTAAACAGTTCCGCAAGAACTCAAAAGGATAGGGACACACGTCGTTGCCTTTTCGTCGTTTCTGCCTACGCTCCCACTGACCGCACCCTGGATGAAATGAAAGGCGACTTTTACAGAAAGCTTTCTGAACTTCTTCAAAAAGCTAAATGCTCGAACATAGTACTTCTAGCAGACGACTTTAATGCTCAAGTAGGTAGGTTAAACCAAGCAGAAAGACATTTAGGTGGGTATTCTGGTATTCCAGATCAGAGAACAGATAATGTTGACCGTCTGCTGCAACTGTGTTCAGACGGTCGTTTATTTCTAACATGCACTGATTTTTGCATAAGGAGACATCGTCTAACGTGGCGACCCACTGCAGCAAACCAACGATGGACTCAAATAGATCATATTGCCATCAGTCATCTTTGGATAGGGTCGATAGAAGATTGTCGCTCATTCTGGTGTACCTGCTTGGACTCCGACCACGCCATAATACGGGCACGCATCTGCTTGCGCCTCACTGGACGCAAAAAAGCCACACTAAAAAGACTCATTAGAATTGAATTGAGTAGCGAGAAAACCGAAATTAGGTTCCAGGTACAACTGAGGTCACAATTAGGTAGTTCTGTAAACGAGGCTAACCCAGATGTTGCATGGAAAGATATACAAACAGCCGTGGAAACAACAGTGATATCTGTTAGTGATTTAAACCAAAGAGTAACAAAAACTCAATGGATTTTTTCAAGGTTTATTGCACTGATGGATTCTCGTAAACTCATCCTATCAGGTTCTGAACGCGATGAAGAGCGAAAACAAATGAGACCTAGGTTAAGCAAAAGTTTAAGGAATGACCATGAACAGTGGGGGGTAACGAAAGCAAAAGAGATGGAAAAGGCAGCGGTTGTAGTTAACATCAAACGGCTTTCCAGACAAACAAAAGAAACTAGAATAGATAAGTCAAGTGTAAGTGAGACTATTTCGGAAAAAGACAACACTTTTCTACTCTCAGTCCAGACGTTTAGAACGATGGGCGGAACATTTCAGAGAACAATTCAGCTGACCTTCACCTACTCTACAACTACCCACCATTCCCAGACAGTGTGAATGGAACATTGAAGAAGGTCCTTCGACTCTAGCTGAAGTTCAAAAGGCTATAGCTAATCTGGAACGAGGAAAGGCAGCTGGTCCAGATGGACTGACTCCAGAGGTCTTTAAGGATGGTGGTCCAATTTTAGCGATTAGGTTGACTAATATTTTAGCTAAGATCTGGGAGTTAGACGTTATTCCATCTGACTGGTCACAATCACTTATCGTCCCAATATATAAGAGAGGGTTAAAATCATCCTGTGACAACGATAGAGGGATTAGTTTAACTAATATAGCATCTGAAATACTATCCTCAATAATTATCAGTCGTCTAACAAAGACTCGTGAACTAACTGCAAACACGAGAAAATCAGGCTGACTTCAAACCTAGTTGTGGCTGTATCGACCATATATTCACCATTCGTCAGGTTCTAGAACACAAGCATACTTATCGACGTCCGACAATGGTGATCTTTCTTGACTTAAAAGCAGCATTTGACTCCGTAGACTGCGAGATTCTGTGGCAGTGTCTGTTATTGAAAGGCGTACCTCAGAAGTACATATACCTTGTGAAGTCTCTTTACTCGAACACTACTAGTCGAGTGAGAGCTTATGGCGAACTGTCGTCTGCTTTTGCAACCTCAAATGGTGCCCGTCTAGACTGTCCACTATCTTTATTTTTGTTCAACTGCATCATAGACATACTGATGGAAATAACATTGTCGTCGACTGGATTCTCGGGTATTGATCTCCTACCAGGAGGTCCACTTATCGACTTAGAATACGCAGATGATATAGTCGTGTTTGGTGAAAACGATGATAAAATGCAGAGTCTTATGTAGCACTAAGCAACAATGCTAGAATGTTCGAAATGCGCTTTTCTCCCTTCTTCACTTCAGGACTGGCCTGGGTTAACACCTGAACCAAGGATAGGGAGTGAAGTAGCCGAAAGCGTCGACAACTTTACTTATGTTGGAAGTCTGATCAACCCTAATGCATTGGTGTCTAACGAAATCTCAGCACGGATTCGAAAAGCTCGTTTGGCTTTTGCTAACTTACGTCACCTATGGCGAAGGCGAGATATCCGTCTATCAATAAAAGGACGAGTATACTGCGCGGCAGTCCGTTCTGTTTTACTTTACGGCAGCAAAACACAGCCATTAAGAGTAGAAGTTACTCGTAAGCTACTAGTATTTGACCACAGATGCCTTAGAAATGTTACTGGCGTCTGCTGGGATCACCGGGTAACTAATAGTGAGGTTAGACGCAGGGTACTAGGGAATGATGGTAAATCAATTGATGAGGTTGTGAATCTTCATCTACTGAGATGGTTGGGCCAAGTGTTACGTATGCCTGAACACCGATTACCACGATGCGCAACGCTGACTGGTGTTGGGGATGGTTGAAAGAAAGTTAGCGGCGGCCAAACCAAAACGTGTCATCAGTGCTTGAAGTCACTAAATTCTGGTCTGAGCCATGTTGGTAGATGCAGACTACTTTGTTGGGGTCCGCGTGACTATCGTAACCAATGGTTGGAGACTCGTGGTGACATGGCTCAGAATCGATCACAATGGCGTCGGTGTATACACTCTCTGTCTTCCCTTAAACTAAGAGATTAAAATCGCTTCATATCTTTCTTTCTATGAACTAATTTTTTCTTCCTGTTCTATATCCTTATTGCAATCTTTCTTTTATATATTACCACCACTGAATTAACTACTTTTATGAATCTGGTGTCCATCTTGTTGTGTTAATGAGGTATGGCAACTTGGACCGATGCATATATGTGCCTGGTCCTACGTTGTAGCTGACTGACTGTTGTACTAACGGGTGTCATGGCTTTATCATCGAACAAGCTACTTAGATTAATTGAAACGTCATCTCATAATTATAAACAATTGAACAACGACGAACAGTCTTATTAAATCGAATATCTAATAGACTTAAACTAATCAGGCTAACTTCCAAAAAGTGAATACTCTGTATTAGTGAATGAGAACATTCAAAGCGTTTGATAGATAAAAATTTTTGTGATTCAACTTCATATGTTAATAAGTAAAAATTAAAACATTGAATTAAATCTTGTTCAACCATCTTGATACTACATGTTTAGTTTAAAAAATCATGTGAGTACATTTAATTCTAAAGTCAGTACAGTTGTATATTATTTCGCACCTATTTTTCCTTTTCAGCATGTTCATACAGCTGAAGCAAAATTATTACTTGAAAAGTGGCTTGATGAAAGAAATGCTTTAAGACGTGCTAGTAAATGTGTATTTAATCCACAATTCGGAAGTATTTTTCGTTCTTTTCATAATCCGTCTTATTTTTCACAACGTCTTGGACAATATGCAACACTGTATACGTCAAGAGTTACGAATCTCTTACATTTTCCACTAGATCATGCGTTTTTCCCTAAAAGAACTGCTTTACCACATGAATCATTTTAATTTCTAAGTTCATCTTTGTTATAGTTTATTGTTGTAGGTATAAACGCACTTTTTTGTACTTTTACTACTAATGATGTTTATTAAGTAATAGTTTCGTTTGTATTCATTTTAGGTATGTATGCCTTTCTTTAATGTCTTATTACTAGTCTTTTCAAGTGAAAGTTTTTAGGTTTTTTATGGAACAGTTTTAAGCGAGGCTAAATCTCTCTATCAGTTAAGTAGATATCGTATCAGTTGGTTGAAAGCATTTGACGTATTTCTATGTCCCGTGATAGCTTCCATTCGCTGGTAAGACGCATTTACAATATTCAGTCTGTCATTTATAAGAAACATAGAACCTGTTACATATGCGTATCAACCAAAGTTTCTACAACACCTCAACGTAGTGAGGTGAAAACCAGGGTAAAAGAGAGGCGTTATCAGTGGTATTAAAAAACAATATGATTAGAGTGGAAAAATTCATTTACGCAATGGACAATTTTGAAACTAAAGATTTAAGGGAAGATAAACAGTGAAATCGTCCTAGAAGTTGCTACCGATGTTTACACATATCACTTTATGCCGTACGTCATTGTTCCCGATAATCATACGGAACTCAGTCAAATGTTCTACAACCACCCACATGGTTCAAACCAGGACTTAGTAACTTCATGAACAAATGCATTCATTTACTTTGACTGCCCTTACCTTTCCTTAGACCTATAATTTTATGTAACAGACAATCCCAGCCGAGTTTGAACTAAGGCCTAGATAGCAGAAGCTTGATTAATATGTAATGTTGAGTTAATACGAGTATCGCAGCCTCATCGGAAACTTGTCTCAGCCTGAACAGATCGACGATGGTGTCTTATTTTATGAACCTGAGAGGTGTTAACGAAAATTCAAAACACAATCTTATTTCCCTCAAGATTGCTGACGAGCTTCAACTAGCATAAAACCTAAAATCAATGCTTAATTTCAACTACCTTTAACCTACTAACATCAAAACGAAGTGTGATGCAATTTCAAATCATTTATCCTAGTGGTCACATTGCAATCCGCCTCAATCATTTGTCACATTCACCGGAAATTTCGAATAGATTTGAATACTACTTATATTCTCGAAATATCCCATAGAGTTCTTCACTGGTCGATTGGTAATCGAAGGGAATTTTCACTTTGAATACATTTAGGTCGCTAGTTCGTAGCACGGTTTACAATTTAAGTCTTCCACACGTATTATGGGTTTAGCTATGCAATAAATAGTACTTTTGTCGTGCAAAGCATATAAAATTCTATGATAGTTCGGAGCTAGTTCTCACTTCGAACACTGAATTTCAGGGAAAATGGCTTATTTAGTTTTTGCTCAATGGATGAAGTCGTTTAATAGTTAAAAATTTATTGCATGGCAAGTACACGAAATTTATAATAAAGTTATCTATAAAAAATAATTAAATAGTTTTACAAATAAAAGATTATGGAATGTTGGTGTAATTCATAAGAGTAAGTAAAACTGTCTAATGGATTTCACCTTAATAAACACTATTTTGTGTCCTTTGATAAATATATACAATACTAATAACAATTTTGCATACTATTACACCTATAATACATCATAAATTTATCATAAAAGCGACTTATGTCATATTACACTTTTTATGTTTGGTATTTACTTCAATTAGCCAAACTTAATTTGTTGCTAAGTTTTGTCAGTGCTTCAATCTTTTAAATTTCACCAAGTCTGTTAATCTTTCATTACTGATTGTAAAACATTTTATTTAAAATTCCAATGTTGTTTTTTGGTGCGAATACACTTCCTTAATTGATTACCAATTAAGCACACCGTCCGTACTAATTAACTATTTTATTCTTAACGGTACCTCTGAAATTTGTCCATTTTACAACCTACTCAGTTGATATGTTTACAATGTAGTTTCATTGTCTCATTCTGCCAGATATGAGGGCACTATCTTTTGTTAAAGTACAATATTTCTTGCGTTGTTCATGATAGATAGAAGTTGCATACATGTTTTACAAATAGCTGGGGACACTGAATGTCTGTGAACAAAACTGAAACCCCCTTTATGTGTTCAAAGACAATCTGTTCTTGCCGTTAACCTACCCTGGTAATGCTGGCTTATTATCAAGCGTTGTTTTCCACATCGTGTACCTTGTTCCCCCTTGCCTTTTCATTTGTCTAGTCGACCTTTTATTTTTTGTATACAAAGTCTTACCAAGTATATGTGTAATCAAACTGTTCGAACTGTATTGCGCGACTATATCACATTATTCTAATAACCTTCGTCTTCTCATCGCACTATCCAAACTAATTTTCTGAATACATAGAGGTACCCTGTTTGTTGAAATTAACAGAAGAAACTTCTTAGTATCCAGTTTTTCAAGATAAGTAGAATTATGAGTGCTGGACACAATACCCAGATCTGTTCAATATGTACTCTAGTAGTCATGAATGGACCATCACTCAAGTCTCCTTATGCATAAAATCAGTGCTTGTTAGAAATAAACGACCGTCTGAACACAGTTGTAGCAGACGGTCAACATTATCTGTTCTCTGATCTGGAATACCAGAATACCCACCTAAATGTCTTTCTGCTTGGTTTAACCTACCTACTTGAGCATTAAAGTCGTCTGCTAGAAGTACTATGTTCGAGCATTTAGCTTTTTGAAGAAGTTCAGAAAGCTTTCTGTAAAAGTCGCCTTTCATTTCATCCAGGGTGCGGTCAGTGGGAGCGTAGGCAGAAACGACGAAAAGGCAACGACGTGTGTCCCTATCCTTTTGAGTTCTTGCGGAATCGTTTAGCCGAACAACACATAGACGACTGTTAATGGGGATCCATTCTAACAGTGCTTGTTCCACCCTCATGCTTAGTGCTATGCCCACACCTGCTAGTCCACGAGAACTGGCTGTCGGGTCACCAGATACACGGAGGGTGTATCTCGTTGGCTCTCCGTTTTGCGGAGGTGAGGTAAAGTGAATGACCACACTAGGATCCTGTATGCGTGTTTCAGAGACATAGCATACATCAATGGTACGAGATTCTAGGTTTCTAGCCAAAGAAGCCTGTTGACCGATTTGACATAGAGTGCGTACGTTGAAGGCTCTAGTGTGTAGTTTGGAGCGAGGTTCCAGTAGACCTTGGACAGTGTTTTGAGCACTAGAATCGTTCGCTATGGTGACACTTGAGGGGGAAGCCGAAAGAGGAAGTTTGGTGTTGAAAATCGATGGAGGAGGAATAATAGGAATTGAAGAGGGAGGTTGATTATAAACATAGTGGTCTTGAGTGCTGTTAGAGGTATGAGGGCGGTTTTCACTTCCCGGTTCCCCACACCGCGGAAGGGTTTCTCTAGAGGTACCTGAAAAGGAAATTGGATTAGATGTGATCTTGGTGACCTGACAGAGTGACTGCAGTGCCCAAGAGACTACTGAGTGAGGTCGATCACACACGACCTTTTTGATTAATTTTCGTGTTAGCTTCGTAATTGTTGAGACCGTACCGCCTGAGACGGATATCCGTGGGATAATGCGGTGTGCATTTTTAGGGTTGACCTTTTCTAACCCCACCCCTCCTTGTGGGAAGGCAGCATCGCTGTCATGCGGGTTGTCTGAAGGAAACACCTTACTGCTGTCACACCTCTGTACAGTCAGCAGTACGACTTCGCCTTCGGACCTTGGGTTTGTTGCCTTTAGTCTTACCGCTCTTCAACCGACCTGTTTGACATGGTAGGACCTTGAGAAACGGTTGTTCCAGCCAGTATAGCTCGGTTGCTTCATCACGATAGGCAAGCCCGACCACCACGTCAAGGTAGCAACAACAGTCGGGTCGAGATAAGTAGGATTAGGAGTGCTGGATACAATACCAAGATCTGTTCAATATGTACTCTAGTAGTCATGAATGGACCATCACTCAACTTAGATATAAGACTGTACACACTTGAAGGTATTATATTGCAATTTGAACTAGACGCGCAATAATGTACAAAGTAACCATTATTATGTACAAACATCACAACTTTCCTTACCCACCAACCAATTAAACATTGCAATCTAAACTGACAACACTTACAATTTTCTGTCGCATCCTCAGGAAATAATAATAATTGTTGCTCTATATCTGAGAAACGATGTATAAAAAACTGGGGATCAGTAAGTAACTGTGTAAATATGTTACAGTTTAGATGAATTCGATCAATCGAAGTAAGTTTTAAACATTTGGATGTGTCATTCACTTTATTCGGACAAGCATAATAACTACCACCAAATTCATTGGGTAATTTCAGACAACCGTGACGAATGCCAAAGAAAGAAGACCGCTTGCCAAACACTGTGCAAAAAACATTGACTGCCCCATAGAAAATGAAACCAGTGGATATCTTCGATACGATGAGGCCGGCACACTCGATATCTTTACTTGACCTAAAATTCTCGAAGCACTTTGATGTTAGCTAGTTTAATTGTAATTAGGTCTTCCCTTCTACTATGCCAAATCAGTCGGTCATTTGGAACATAGAATCCGGCACATATCAGGTTACACATTTGATCCTTCGTAACAGTCTCCTAGCAAACTGTTTTATTGTACAAAAAGGTCTCACGATTGAGTAACTGACATTTCCCGTAATATTGAAGGTGCTATAAAATATAAACTGCGTTATAGAATGCATGGTAATGTACTGGTGTTTCTGGATACAAACTAAATAAAACGTCAAAACTTCCCGACAGAATCCTCTCCTGTTTGATTGAAAATATCCAGAATTAATCGCACATTTCTTTTAATCACTTTTTACGTATCGATGATATCACATTAAATACATATGTTAACACAATTTAATCATATTTCAGACTAAACGATGAAAGTGAATTAGATTTTACAGCTTCGTCTGGGTCATCACATTAAATTGTGTGGGTGTTATCAGACTACTCTTACATTACAAGCCTAATTAACCAAATTATTCTTATGAATTACACCAACATTCCATAATCTTTTATTTGTAAAACTATTTAATTATTTTTTATAGATAACTTTATTATAAATTTCGTGTACTTGCCATGCAATAAATTTTTAACTATTAAACGACTTCATCCATTGAGCACAAACTAAATAAGCTATTTTCCCTGAAAATCAGTGTTCGAAATGAGAACTAGCTCCGAACTATCATAGA